TTCAATTTTTGCTCATGCAAGCCTTAAACCATGATCCTCCTACCTCCGCTTCCCACATAACATAGGCTAACATGCCTGGCTTGTTTGTTGAGATGGGGGTCTATCAACATTTTTCCCAGATTGGCCTTGAATCACAATCCTCCCAGTTTGTCTCCAGATTAGCTGAGATTACAAGCATGCTTCACCATGATCAGGCACTTTTTCTGTATTTTGCTGTATACTTGCTGCTCACACCTACAATCCTAGCTTCTTGGGGAGCTGAGAACAGGAAGACTGTGGTTCAAGGCTAGCCAGAGTAGAAAACTTTACAAGATGCCTAGGCATATATTGAATGCCTATTATTCTAACTATGTGGAAGGTTGAGATCAGAAAGATTGTCATTCCAAGTCAGCTTGGGCAGGAAAATTAGAGACTGAGACTTTTGTCTCCTCTGAGGGAAGCTGGATGCTCTGGTGTCTGCTTGCAGTCCCAGTGGTGACTGGAAGCCTAAAAGTAGACTGACTGCGGCTAAGGTGTGTACCCACACAAGAAGGTAGATCTTATCCTAACAAAATACGTAAAACCCAGTAGATGTATAGGCTACCAATATTCCACTAAGTACAAAACCTGAGTTTCCCTAGATCACCCTGCCTCTCCACACAAAAGGTGAGTTAAGAGTTAAGTGCTGAGATGAAATCCATGTTTAGGAGTCAACTGTCAAAATAGTGTATGCCTGTAATCCTAGCTACCAGGATGTTCACAAATTCCAGGGCAAGACCCTGGAATTCATAGCAAGACCCTGGGTTCAACCCCCAGCACATACACAAAAAGAAGACAACTGTAATATAATACTTAATTCAGTGTGTTAAACATTGTTAATAACTTGTACTTCATTGTTTATGGAATGTCAAAAGAAAGTACACATACAGGTTCTTTTGTTTCTAAAACTGAAATCTTAGATTTTCTATCTAAAAATCTGTTGAGTCCACAAGGGAACCCAGGTATAGAAGGCTGACTAAATAAATACTTTGTTGTATGTGTTACTCCAAGTATGCTAGGCAAGCAGTCTACCACCGAGTCACACACACCCCAAGTCCTACAAACCCTTTTATCATGCACAAGAATGCTGTTTTTATGAGTCACAAAATGCGTGTGAAAATGTTTCTCCTGCCAGGTGCTAGTGGCTCACACATGCAATCCTAGTTACTCAGGAGGCTGAGATATGAGGATCTCAGTTTGGAGCCAGCCAGGGCAGACAAATCTAAGAGACAGCCCCAATTAACTAACTACAGCTGGCTGTATGGCTTAAGTGATTGAATGCTAGCTGTGAGTGTAAAAGCCTAAGAACCAGTACAAAAAAAAAGTCTTCCCCTAAATATGAGCAATGTTATATTTATTTAAATGGCACTTGTTAATACTAAAATACTGTCTCTGTTCAGTTTAGCATGGTTTGCCGTTAAAATTAATTTCAATTTAGTATGTATGATTTTATTACTTTAGTAAATATATCATTGTTACTTTAATAATATATAAACACATACATTAAAGAGATTACTATTTTCATAAAGGATTTGTAATGAGTAAAAGTAAATGTTAGGAATCACTTATATAATTGTATTGTGTTACAATGTTAAAAAAAATCATAATCTAACCAAGTATTGGTGGTGCACACATAACCCTAGCTACTTCAGAAATTAAGATTGGGAGGATCTTGGTTCCAAATCAGAAAAGCAGAAGTCGTCTCAACTGAGAGCTGGGCACACTGGTATGTGCCTGCCATCCCAACTATGACTGGAAGCCTAAAATTGCTGGCTGGAGACCCATGGGATCAGGAGGCTGGACTCTATCTCAAAAATAATCACAGTGCGAAAAAAGGGCTAGGGGTGTGTCACAGCACAAGTGCCTTCCTGGCAAGTAGTAGGCCAAGTTCAAACCTTAGTGCTCCCAAAGGAAAGAAAAACCACAATCCAGACAGTTTAAGTACCTAGTGGGAAGATATGCAGCCAGTTAATGATGGGGCTAGGCAACAGGCCTCAGCAATAAAAGACTGCAGAGAATTGATTGTTAAGAGTTCCAGAGAAAATTCAGGAGCATGTCAAACAAGTCTGTGCATAAGATATAAACAACGCGCCTGAAACTAATGCTAATTATGTCAACAGTTTCAGGGGTGAGCAATACTTTTTAAATATATGTCCACTATATTTCACCTTTTTAAAAAGTCATCTTCAAAACAGCCCATAGCGTTTGTTATCCCAGGGTTGGTAGATTTTTTAAAGGGAAAGGTAGGTGAAATTCTGAAACTGAAATCCATGTTTCTGTTTAAAATTAAAAATATGAAGTCATCTTAATATAAAACATCCAATTCTAGCCCTCCTTGAACAAATGAAAATGTAGTAGAGACAATTTGTTTACCGTACATTGAAGTACTGACTACTGCCAGCATCCAGGTTAGTAGCTCTTCACTGCATCACTGCTAACCTGTAATGTTCTGACTTCCCTGAGAAGATCCAGAATCTTGATCAAGGAAGTGGAGTACCTTGAACAAATGGAGCTACTTCCATGACATCAAGTTTAGTAGATCCCTAATCATTAGCCAAATCATACAAGTGATAGAATAGTTTTAATACATTTTCTAATTACAATTAGCTGATGTTTTCACAGTGCAAACAAAGTAAAGATTATTCTTTAAGGAACTTGGACTCCAGATGTGGATCCCATTTGTGAAGCTTCCCACATTTCTAGTCATCTAGGAAGCCTGTAGAAGTCTCTGAGGGGGGAGCGAGGGGGAGGAAACCCTGTTTACACACTATAACTGTGTTAGATATGGAGAGAACGTGAAACAGAAGTTCTGTGAATGTTTGCATTTCTAAATGAAAATAAATGCAAATAGAAGTATTTAAGTGATGTTAAATACTTCCATTTTCTTTTAAAAAGTGGGTATGAAACACTAAAATGAAACTCATTTCAAGGTTAAAGGATTAGTACAAGCCATTTAAACATCTGATCAATCTACTAGCAAAAGATTACTAATTGGTTCCACAAACATGAGTATAATAAGACCTGACTCCTGGCCCAGGAAGAGCATCAGTAGCTCAGCATTCTTTGCCCAAAGCATTCCTATGCTGTGTCCACTTAGACACTTCGTGATTTGTGAAAAAGTGCAAATACTACATTGAAAATATTGTGTACCTTTCTGTGATGCTATCCAATTAATAAACTAAACTCTCAATTTGATTTCCTGATATGTTCCTTGGAGGACTTTTCTCTGTTTCAAGCAATGCTAAAGAAGATCTTTATTAACTCTCTTAAATTGCAATTTAGTAGGATAAAATATCCTAAGAAATTTACTATCGGACATAGGAGTACTCGTTATTTTGCTTACAATGTTGGTCACAAGAAAAAGGTTCACTTGTTTTCAATTATTTTATCCTTCATTTGGCAATTAGCCATCTTCCTTTTAGTTCATTCACTGGTGGATAAATATGAATAAGTATGTGTGAAGCATAGTGCTGGGAGATAAGGCTGCAGAAACGTCTATGTTTGGGGCAGCTCAGTTTGTAATGGGAAAGCCAGACAGATAGGTAATTAGAGTAAGATACTAAATGAGAGGATATGGCCCCCAGGAGGATACAGTAATCATATGTCAGATGCTAATTCTAACCCTTTTCAAGATCTAGACTCTGAGTAAAGTCGATTCTTTTTATAAAAAAAAAAAAAAAAAAGCTCATCAAAAGACTAAGTTAGCCCTTGCTAGCTTTTTGCACTATTCTAAACTTACTTTCTCTTGCCCCCAGTTTTTTACAGTATTTTGATATTAACATTCTTTACTCTGACCCTATTTTTTTGTCTTTCATAATCTTTGTTGTTGTTGTTGTTGGTTGTGGGGCATGAACGCTGATCCTCAGCTCTTCAGCTCAAGGCTAGCACTCTACCACTCAGGCCACAGCACCACTTCTAGCTTTTTCTGCTTATGTGGTGCTGAGGAATCGAACCCAGGGCCTCATGCATACAAGGCAAGCACTCTACCATTGAGCCACCTTCCCAACCCTTTCATAATCTTAACAGGCTTCAGTTATCACAAGGGTAACCCTTTTCCTTGCTAAGCCTATGTGCCATAGATGTGATGAATTCATATATTGCAAGGCTTTTAGCAAAGCTGTTACAAAATTTGAGTAACCTGCCGGGCGCTGGTGGCTCACGACTGAAATCAGGAGGCTGAGCTCTGAGGATCATGGTTCAAAGCCAGCCACGGCAGGAAAGCCTATGAGACTCTTAGGTCCAATAAACCACTCAGAAAACCGGAAGTGGTGCTGTGGCTCAAGTGGTAGAGCGCTAGCCTTGAGCTGAAGAGCGCAGGGACAGCGCCCAGGCCCAGAGTTCAGGCCCCACAACTGACAAAAATAATAAAATAAAATAAAAATAAAAGGAAAAATTTGAGTAACCTTAACATGAAAGCATTCGAAGCTTACTGAGCTGTCTCCAACCAAAAGCATTTGTCTCATTTTCCCCCCTGAGAATTGGACACTTAGAATTGACATTTAGTTACTGATGCTGGGTCCTGGGACTTGAACTCAGAGCCTTGCTCTTGCTTGACTTTTTCCACTCAAGGATAGCATCCCAAGAGCCACAGCTCCGCTTCCAGCTTTTAGCTGTTTATTTGGATATAAGGGTCTCACCGACCTTACCTGCTCAGGGGGGCCTCGAGCCTCGAGCTTCAGATGTCAGCCTCGCCATCAGCTCTGACCACAGGCGTGAGCCGCCGGCACCTCGCACAACCAGGATTATTTCTGACCTGTGAGGTCAGTTGCTAACGGCTAGGAGGCCCCCTTAAAGTTTTCAAACCAGTGAGTTAGCAGACCGCGGGCGAACACGCCCCACGTGCTGCGAGACCCCGGATCTGGGCGGCGAGCGGCTGCGGCCCGGGCTCCACACCCGCCCGGCCGGCCTGTGGAGGCCGCGGCCCCTTCCACTCACCGACGCGGGGGGCGAGGTCTCACAATCCCGGCGGCCCGGTCCCTTTATTAAGTCAACACGCCTTCGGGGCCGGGGGTCGGGCCGGGAGGGTTCCCGAGCCCACTCCAGGATGGACCCTGGGAAACCCGAGCCCACCACGTCCGGTCCGAGAGCCCCGCGCGTGGACGCCGCGGCAGCCAGGGCGGCGCGGCGGAGGCGCGCGCCGGGCCGCCGGGTTTAAATCTCCCGCCTTCCGCGGCGGAGCCCGACACCTCCACGCTCCGGAGCGGAGGGGCGCGGGCTGAGGGAGCAGCCCGACTAGCGTCGCGGGCTCGCGGCGGCGGCGGCGGCGGCTGGAACGGGTGAGGGGGGTCCGGACGCCGAGCGGCCGGGTGCGGCCCGAGCGAGCCAGGCGGCGACGGACCGGCGCGGCTCCAGCGGGCGCGGTAAGCGACCCCGACCGCGTCCGCCCGCTCCCCCGTGGGGCGGCTGAGCGGCCCCGAGGCCAAGCCCTTGGTTCCCATGGCGACCGGGGGGTGGGGGCGCGGGCCTGGCGCGCACGCGGCCTCTCGGGGCCTCTCCGGACCCCGCCGGCCTCTCCACTCCCCGAGGGACCCCCGGCCCGGCGGCCTCCCAGCTCGGCCAGGCCCCGGTGCCCGCTCTGCCGGCCGTTGTGCCCTCACCGCCCGTCAGGAGAGGCTCCCGGCGGGGCTGGGTCCCCACCCGGACGGGTCGGAGCTGCGGAGGGCGCCCGCCCAGCCCATGGAGGACGAGCGCGGCGGCCTGGGCCGGTGGTGTGGGGGTGCTTTCTCTCGCAGGTGGGGATCGCTTCCGATGCTGCTCCCGCCTTCAGGTGCCTCCCTGCTGCCCTCCTTTGTGCGTGGTGCTCATCTTTTATTTTGTTATTGTTTTGTGATGGGGATGTCTTCCTGGGAACGGGGACCTCTGTTTACGAAGGGCGGGGGGGCGGCAGGTACACGATGTGGGGTCCTCTGCGGAATGCACCAACTCCCAGTGGGGCGAGGGCGGGGGTCCGCGCAGAAACCCCGGGGTCCCGGGGCTGGAGGAGCAGGTGTCCGGCCGCTCCTCACCTGGGCCATGATGTCAGCGGCGGATACCTGATGCTCCAAGATGGAGAAGGGGGGAGATGAGCCCAGCCAGGCGACGAACCGGCTACGCGGTGGCTTCGCCAGGAGAGGGGGCGGGATTCTGGCTCCTGTCAGACAGGAGAGCACAGTAACTGTGATAAACTCCGGGTCACTGAAGTAGCTTGTGGGGAAGCTGTACTTCTGAGTATGGATGTGTTGATTTACTTGATTCCCACCCAGGCTATGCAGGGTGTAAGGCGATATTGCTTTAATCATCTTCACATCAATATTTATGGAGTAGCCACGGGTGCCGCCTTCTTTACTAGGAGTTAATTATGCATTTATTGGCCAGATAGCCGCTACTCGTGGTAGGTATATGTTTTTATAGAACTAGGTCTTTCATTCGTTTCGTATTTAGCCGTGCTTAACATTCAATGTTCTTTGAATTGTTTGTGTTTCATAGTGCAGAATGGTTGTACATCTAGGCACGGAAGTGCAGCTAGTTGCAAGGCGTTGTTCTGATTACCTGTAATTATAAATTGCCAGGCAAATCATTATAATTTTAGAATTAGAAGGGTGTTTGGAGATCAACCAGTGCAAACATGAGACTGGTAGAACAAGTAGGAAGCCATATTTTTTTATTATAAATGCTTATCATAAAACAATTACTAAAACAAGATATCACTAATTGAAGAATATCAAAATATGAAGTATTATATATACAACATTAACTTAATGTTCCGTGCTCACAGACTGTGATCTTAGTGTGAATTGTAGCCTGTAATTAATTTTTTTTTTACCTTTGAACTTTGCCTTTTTTAGTACTCACTGCTAAAATTTTATTCTTTTTATGTTCTTTAACAACCACAGTGAAAGACTTAAGTATATCTGGAACTGGAAAGTTTCCTTATGTGAACTGGTTTTTGTAACAAGTTCCTTATTCCCTTTTTTTTTTTTTTTTTTTTCCATTTTGCCTGTTTTTCATTCAGCACTTAATTTTACCATTTTTTCTGATGTAAAACTTCCAGGTCTCTGCTGGTATTCATGATTAAAAGTCACGTTCTATGTATCTTAATATTTGTCATTACTGACCTATTTTCACATATCGCATGAGAGTTTTGTTTGTTTCTCCAGGGGGAGATCTCAAGGTCTTGCCTTTGCTCAGCCTGTTTGCTTCGCTGATACTCTACTACTCCAGTCCTGCTTTTTGCTGGTTATTTTGGAGATGGAGTCTTGTTCTGGGCCAGCTTAGACTCCTAGATAGTTAGAATTACAAACATGAGCCACCAATACCTGGATACTGTATTTTCTTTTTGAAACAGGATCTTTTGTACATAGCCCACACTGGCCAAGAACTCATTATGTAACTCAAGGCTGCCTGTGACTCCAGTCTTCCTGCCTCATCTTCCCAAGTCCTAAGATGACTTTTTTTCCCCCCTGTAATACTAAGGATTGAACTCAATGCCTCACAGTTGCTTGAAAAGCATAGTACCTCTTGAGCCACTCATCAGTCCTTTTTGTGGTAGTTATTTTTGAGTTAAGTTCTTGCTCTGTGCCCAGGTCATCCTAGATAGTGATCCTCCCATTTGTGTTGCTAGGATGACAAATGCTTGCCACTATGTCCAGCCAATAAGATGGAGTCTCCAGCTGGGCACCAGTGGCTCAGGCCTATAATCCTAGCTACTCAAAAGACTGAGATCTGAGGATCACGTTTAGAAGCCAGCCCAGGCAGGAAAGTCCATGAGACTTTCATCTCAAACAAACTACTCAGAAAAAGCTGGAAGTAGCACTGTGGCTCAAGTGGTAGAGTGTTAGCCTTGAGCACAAAGAGGCCCACGGACAGCATCTAGGTTTTACGTTCAAGCCCCAGGACAGCCCCCCCCCACTTCCTGCCCCCCAAAAAGGTGGAGTCTCCAGCACTTTGTCCACTCTGGCTTCCAACCACCATTCTTCACTCTCTGTCTCCCAAGTACCTAAGATTACAGACTTGAGCCACCACACTCAACCCAGCTAGTTTTCAATTTTTTTATTAATTTATTTCAGATTTTTTTTAACACTAAAGTAACATAATATGTTTACAACATATTTTTAATTATTTATTTTATGTTTTACATAAAATGAGCCCAGAACTTTACCCATGCTAGGCAGGTAGCTACAACACTATCTCTCTTGCCCAAACAATTTTTAAATCTTTTCCAGAATTGTAGTTTGTGGGGTTGTTTTTGTTTGTGTTTATGTGTGTTAAAAAACAAAAACAGGAAGTGGTGCTGTGGCTCAAGCAGTAGAGCGCTCACCTTGAGCTGAAGAGCACAAGGACAGTGCCCAAGCCCAGAATTCAAGCCTCAGGACCGACAAAAACAAACAAAAAAGAGTCTTTCTATAGAGCCAAGACTAACCTCAAACTTGTTATCTGCCTAACCCAGCTTCCTGTTGGACTACAGGTGCACAACTACCGAACCAGCTTGGGAATTTTGATCTTTGAGGATTTTAGACTTTAGGGATTTTGCTTTGGGACATTTCAACATTCTGGAATGTGATGTTTGGGATGTTCTCTAGGCATTATAGCCCAAACACAATTTGGAGAGTCATACCTTGGAGATACTGTGAGTTCAGTTCCAGGCCACTATATGAAAGTGAGGTGGACAACTTTTGGGGTTTCCCACTGCATATAGAAATTCCGTTTATACCACAGTCTGTTAAGTGTGCAATAGCGTCATGTCTTAAAAAACACATACTTTAATTAAACTACTTTATTACCAAAAATGCTAACAATCACTTAGTCTCAACAAGTCATAATCTTATTGCTAGTGAATGGTCTTCACTAATGGCTGCTGACTGATTAAGCAGTGGTTGCTGAAAACTGGTGTGGCTGTGGCAATTTTTTTCTTCCTCATCTTTTTTTTGGCAGGCGGTGAGGAGTGAGGAGGGGGAGACAAGGTCTCATGGCTCAGGCTAGCCTGGATTTCTGTGTTTCCTGAGCAGGCCTTGAATTTATGGCCCTTCTGCTTGGGATTCCAGACAGACATTTATCACCATGCCTGGCCATGCTGTGGAAATTAATGAAATTCACCACAATAAATTGTCAAATTTACCAACTCCTTCTTTTAGGACAGATTTCTTTGTAGCAAGAAATACTGTTGGACAGCATTTTACTCACATAGCACTTCTCTTCTTGGCCTCCTGAGTAGGTGGGACTGTGGCATGCATCACTGTGCCCAGCTTAGCTGAAATACTTTGAAAGGATTTATCTTTTTTTTTTTTTCAAGTAAACTATGTAGTAAATAGATGTGCTGCTGTCCAGGCTCGTTCCATTTATAGAGCATAAGCAGAGGAGACTTAGTTCCTAGTATTAAGGAACCTAGGATTTTCAGAATGACTGATGAGCATTGGCTTCTACCTAAAGTCACCAGCTGCACTAGGCCCTAACAAGAGAGTTGTGTTGTCTTTGAAGCTTTGAAGTCTCTCTGGCTATGAAAAGCTCTAGATGGCATCTTCCTCCAGCAGGAGCTGTTTTGTCATTGTCATTGGAAGTCAGTATGTAAGCGCAGCCGCCTCATCAGTGCCGTGCGCCAGGTCTCCTGCTTCCCCGGCAGCACTTCCTGCCTCATCTTGCAACTCTGCTTGTAGCTAATGTTCTTCTGTAACTCCCTTCTTCCCTCTGCTTTTATAGAACTGAAGAGTCGGGGCCTTGTCTGACTAGGCTTTGGCTAAGGCAGACACAGACCAATAAACCCTTCTCCCTATCAGCAACATGACTGGCTCCATTTCTCATCTGCCTTTTCACTAGAGCAGCACTTTTACTTGGAGAATGTTTCCTCTGTCTTTACAGCTAGACAGTTTAGCATATAATACCTAGCTCTGGGACTACTTCGGCTTTCAACCTGTCTTCTCAACTAAGGTCGGAATATTTGATAGATTAGAATCCCCATCATAAAAGCAATGCTAGAAAACAGGAAGACTAATTTTCCAATGGAAGATCAAAATAAAGCCATTTTAAGCGTGCAAGGACTCACAGAAATTACTTGAGTCTCTCTTTTAGCTGAATAAGGGCGACACAGTAGAATAAGGACCCTCCAAAGATATCTCTTATTCTCCTAATTCCTGAAACCTAAGAATGTGTAAGCTTTTGTGCAAAAGTGAATTTGGCAGATGTGATTAAGAATCCTGAGACAGGTATCCTCTTCTAGGTGGGTTCAGTGTATTCACAAGGATCCACATAAGAGAAGCAGAAGGGACAGAGAACCCAAAGGCAATATGGTAAAACAGAAGAATGTCATAGATGGATTGAAATACGCTGTGCTGCTGTAGCTGTCTTCCTGGGCCTGGCTTATTTCACCTTGCATAATGTCTTCTAAATTCATACACATCATCACAAATGACCATTCTTTTTATGGCTGAATAGTTCTCTATTATACCATATATTTAGCTATTTCATGATGGACTGTTAACATTTATTCTTTTTTTAAAGTTGGGAATTGATATAGGGAACATATATGCTAGGCAAGAACTTTACCATTGAGCACCACCCCAGCTCAAATATTAGCATGTCCAGGAGTACCTTGACCATGAATTCTCTGAAGTCTTATCTGAAACTGTCTTTATTTTTCTCTTCAATTTTTATATTTTTAGGACAAGGTGTGGCCAAGTAGGTTAGGCTACCAGTAGGTCTCCTTCCTTGCCTTATGATTAGTGATCAGCACAGGTCTTGAGAAGGCTTTGTATATAGATTTGGGAGATCATTTCCTTTTTGGTTCTTTCCCATCTGGGATATTACTCCTGAATTATTACTGGTTATTCTGACAACCTTGAATTCTGACATCTGATTTCGCAAGTCTGAAAAACTTTGCTTTCTTCCAGTTCTGCCCACAGTGGCAAGTAGACTTAATAGTACCCTCAGCTAAACTCCACAAACATATAAACCTCACCTGGGCAAATTCTCCCTCCCAGCCACTGTTTGTACTTGCCAGGGAACGTGTATTCTCTGCAAGCACTGTAGCATTCAGAGAGAAAAGGGAGGAGCCGTTTCTTTAACTGCTGAACCTCATATGTTATACTGGATAAATTGCTAGACATAATCTGGAATAGAAAACAGAGAATTTCATCTTTCATGGAGATGAGAGAGTGGTAAGAGTACAGGAGTATTTGGTCTGACTTGTGTCAATGTGGAAGTCAACTAGGAAAATAAGTCTGCTGACAACTCCTACATAATCAGGCCTGTAGTCAATTTAGTAGGCAAGATAAATGGCTTGTCATACAATTAGACTGATCCTCATAAATGTTCATCTAAGAGCTTCTGGTGAACTGAAGGCTGTTGAGAGCACTGACAATCAGAAACTGGAGCAGAGAGCATAAATGCAAGTTTTCCCCAAAACTGTGTGTCACACAGTTTGGTATTTATATGGAATCCAAGCTCCTTAGGAACCCAAGATTAAATTCTCTCTTTTCTATTCCAGATTATGTCCAGCCAAGTTATCCAGGATAGCACATGAGGATCAGCAGTTAAACGGCGACTGATCTGGATTGCCCCAGAACCTAGAGGATATATATCCAAAGGAGAATATTCACAGCGTATGTGAAAGAATGGCCACCTTGTGGACTTTTTGAATTTACCTCTGTTCTATTTTACACTTTTTATTTAAGTCTACTTTACCTGATACTTTATATTTATTTGGTATATCTCAAACCATTCCTTTTTTTTTTTTTAATTTTTGCTGATCCTGGGGCTTGAACTCAGGGACTGAGCTCTGTCCCTGAGCCTCTCTGTGCTCAAAGCTAGTGCTCTACCACCTGAGCCACAGCACCACTTCTGGCTTTTTCTGTTTACATGATACTGAGGAATCAAACCCAGGGCTTCGTGCATGCTAGGCAAGCACTCTACCGCTAAGCCATGTTCCCAGGCCCATTCCTTTATTTTTATTCCTTCTGTGTCATCTTGTTTTCAGTGGATCTCAGAAAAGCATATAGTTTTGTGTGTGTGTGTGTGTGTGTGTGTGTGTGTGTGTGTGTGCCGTTTTATATGACTAGCTTCTTTGTATTTAAAAGGAAGTCTGTGTTGACCATTTAAAATAACTAACTGATCTTACTCTAGCATCTTGGTTTATACTGTTTGTTCCATTGCCTTAGTCCTCCCACTCCTCTTATTCTAGCTTTCTGCTAATTTTTCCACAGCCTTGTTTTGCTCCTAGTAATTTATAAATTAGAAATCCTATTTTTATTTAATTAGTAAGCACTTCAAAGGAAAAAGGAAAGAACCCTCTATTTCTTTCCCAGTATGAGGATTGCAGTCATACCATTGATGCTCTAGAAATCATGGATGAGTCACATACTTGCCTTTTGTTCCTAGTCTAAGGTTATCAGAATAATTTAAGCTTTGAGTCAACTATTGTTTCCTTTTATACATCTTCTAAGAAATACTTTTCACATTTGCATTTCTTTAAATCTATAACATCCTTACAGATGTTAACTATTTTAGAACAATTACTTAGATACACTTTTTTTTAGACAGTCATGGGTCTTAGAACTCTGGGCCTGGGTGTTATCCCTGAGCTCTTCAGCTCAAGGCTACTGTTCTACCACTTGAGCCACAGTGCCACTTCTGGTTTTCTGGTAGAGACAAGACTATTATGGATGTTCCTGCCCAGGCTGGCTTTGAACCACGATCCCCAGAGCTCAGCCTCCTGAGTAGCTAAAATTATAGGTGTGAGCAATGGGTGCCCAGCTTAGACAAACATTTTTGGTTTTTTTGTTTTGTTTTGTTTTGTTTTTGTCCGTTGTGAGGGCTGAACTCTGGGCCTAGGCGCTGTCCCTCAGCTCTTCAGCTCAAGGCTAGCGCCCTATCACTTGAGCCACAGTGCCACTTCCAGCTTTTTCTGCATATGTGGTGCTGAGGAATTGAACCCAGGGCCTCATGCATGCGAAGCAAGCACTCAACCACTGAGCCAACTTCCCAGCCCAAGACATTTTTTACATGAGGAAAAAGTATCTTATTTGAATATATATAAAATAAATTGTTGACAGATAAATTTAGCAAACTTAGTTATTAGATATGATCTATACTTACCAAGGGATATATGTATCTTCTTTTTTTACTCTTTTTTTCTAGTCTTAGATCTTGAATTCAGGGCCTAGGCTCTGTCCCTGAGCCTCTCTGTGCTCAAGGCTAGTGCTCTACGACTTGAGCCACAGCACCACTTCTGGCTTTTTTTTTTTAGTCCATCGTGGGGCTTGAACTCTGGACCTGGGTGCTGTCCCTCAGCTCTTCAGCTCAAGGCAGTGCTCTACCACTTGAGACACAGCAGCACTTGTGGTTTTCTGATGGCTGATTGGAGATGAGAGTCTCACGGACTTTCCTGCCTGGGCTGGCTTTGAACTGCAATCCTCAGATCTCAGCCTCCTGAGTAGCTAGGATTATAGGTGTGAGCTACCAGCGCCTGGGCTTTACTTCTGGCATGCATTCTAGGCAAGCACTCTACCACTAAGTCACATTCTCAGCCCCTATTTATATATCCTGAAGTGAAAATTTTAACAGCTGTACTCTACAAATTGTTGGAAAAGTCGGCGCCACATTTTTAGATTGATGACTATGTCCATCTCTATTTCTTTTAATAACCTCAATATTGAAGGTTTTAGTTTTATTGATGTATTCAAAATCAAGGCTTTTATGTGATCTTTAGAGAAAGGTAGGTTACTAAAGCTTTGCCTCTCTGAAAAAAAATTTTAAACTGTATTCACTTACATAGCAATTGTAACTACAAAAAAATTTTCTTTAGGAATATATAAAAGTGTATATACAAGTTTCTTTGTTTTACAGTATTATTACAAAAGTAAAAATTAGAAACTAACAAATGTCTTTCAGTAAAGATTGGTCAAATAGAATTATTCCCAGACATAATTGCAAAATTGTTAGTTTTATCACATTTGCTACCTAACCAAAACTAATACGCATCATTAGTCTTTTTTTTCCCTACTTCTTTTTCAAGTTACAATTATAACATACATTTATACCATACAAATACAAGCACGGCATGTCTCTGAACATCAGTGTTCCATTTAGTACTTTTTCACTTTGTCACTGATGTTAAATATTGACTAGCTAAATAGATACTAATTATTGATTTTTAAGATGAAGAGTAATTTTAATCTATTTGTTGTAGTTACTCCATGGATTCCTTTGGGCAACTCAGACCACAAGATAACCAGTCAGTAGTCAGCAGAATGCAAAAGAAATATTGGAAAACAAAACAGGTCTTTATCAAAGCAACAGGAAAAAAAGAGGATGAGCATGTGGTTGCATCCGATGCTGAACTGGATGCTAAACTTGAGGTAAGTTTGAAAATTCTGTGTCCACGAACTGGTTGTTCTTTTGGAGTACAGGGGAGACTATAATAAGCTTTTACATCAACAATTGTAGATAAAGGCATGATCACAGAATCTTTATTTTCAGCTCTCAATCAGAGCTTCTAGATAAGAGGTCACAATTCTCACAATTGAGAAAAAAATCACAGAACTGGTAATATGATTAGATATCTAATAAACTAGGGTAATTTCTCTGGGACATGTAGTTTTTTTTTTTTTTGGTCGGTCGTGGGCTTGAACTCTGGGCCTGGGCGCTGTCTCTCAGCTCTTCAGCTCAAGGCGAGCGCTCTACCACTTGAGCTACAGCGCCACTTCCGGTTTTTTGTGGTGGTTTATTGGAGATAGGAGTCTCACGGTCTTTCCTGCCTGGGCTGGCTTTGAACCGCGATCCTCAGATCTCAGCCTCCTGAGTAGCTAGGATTACAGGCGTGAGCCACCAGTGCCCGGCTGGGACATGTAGTTTTAAAGCTAAATACTAGTGAAGTAATTGAAATAATATACTCATTATTATATTGCTTCTCTTCACTTATTCATTCTTGCCGTGCTGAGGCTCAAACCCAGGGCCCAATGCTTTTAGGCAAATGTTTAACCACTGAGCTACATCCCCAGCCCTTTGGAGTTTTTGTTGTTGTGTTTTGTTTGGTTTTGTATAGGCTGTACCACAAACCCAGCTTGTGTCTGTTATTAAGAGAAAATATTATTGAGGAACTTTTTTCTATATCGTGGGACTTGAACTTAGGGCCTGGGCACTGTCTCTGAGCTTTTTGTGTTCAAGGCTAGTGCTCTACCACTTTGAGCCATAGCATCACTTCCATTACTGAGGAATTTTAAATAAAAGGAATAACTGCCCTGAAGCAATTTAAAACCTACAAACATTTATACTGCTAACTTAAAGACAATCTCATGTAAATTAATGAAAAATACTGAATTTTTAAATGCAGATTTACGCATACCAGGCACATATTAACTCTTAGACATATTTCCAAGAAGGAGTTCTGTTACGATTAGAATCTAATCATTATGTTGGGATTCTTAAAACAATAGGGCCAATTAAATATTTCTTGGTTTACTAAGTATTTTCATTTTTCAAAATGTGAATAAACCTATGTCACTGCTGTAACAAAATATGGAAATAAGCCAAGCACTGGTGGGTCACACCTATAATACTGGCTATTACGGATGCTGAGATCTGAGGATTATGGTTCAAAGCCAGCTCTGAGAGACCGTTATCTCCAATTAACAAAAAGCCAGAAGTGAGGTGTGGCTCACATGGTAGAACATCAGCCTTGAGTCAAAAAGTCAAGCAAGAGTGTAAGGCCCTGAGTTCAAGCACCAGTACTAGCACCAAATGGGGGTGGGCGGGAAGAAATAGATAACAAGTTAACAAAGCTTTGTTGTTTGTGTTAAAACGTATTCCTCTTATGATTCAGTAGTAAATGTAGAAAAGTGACTAGTAATATCAGTTATTTTAACACTAAGACAACTTGTCACCATTTCACAGATATTATTTATATTGTCAGATAACCTATAGGTGACATACTTTATATTTATTGTAAATTTGTCCAATAAACAAATTTTGGGAATAAAACATGAATTTTCTCCCATATTTGTATTATTTTTAAACTGTAGAAATATTTTCATTGTAAAAATAAAAATTGTAGTAAGTCCTGCAATACTTATGGGAAAAAAAACCATAATCACTTCATCCTAATTTTTTACATTCTTTTAAATTATTTTCTTCCATAAACATTGTGTGTGTCATATATGTTGTCAAGTGTAATCTACTTTTTGTTTGTTGTTTGTTTTTTAAATTCACTTTGGGGTAATAGTTTTGTCCAAGGTTTTAGATGAGCAGCACTTTAAAACAAATTGGCTTGGTGTTTTTAAGTTAATCATATGCTTAATAAATATGTGTTTTTTGCATTCAAAAAAAAACATTGTGTGTGTGTGTGTGCATGCATGCATGCATGTGTGTGTTTGTGAAAAGAGAGAGATCAAGCCAGTACTGGGGCTTGAACTCAGGACCTTGTGCTTATTCCTGCTTGGCTTTTTTACTCAAGGCTGGCTCTCACGAGTCACACCTCCTCTTTGAGCTTTTTTGCTGGTTCTCTCTTTTTGGCTCAGACTGTGATTCTCTTCCCTACACCCACCCTACACCTTCCTTGGGTGGGATTACAGGTATGAGCCACTTTAGGATTCTTGATAATATTGGAAAATAATTTTTGATAATCATTGAGTTAATATTATACATTGTCAAGGTCTTTTAAACAATGAGGCTGGGGGAGGGGAAAACAATGAGGCTGCATGCTAAAAAAATCTATGCTACTTTATCTGGGAAAACTTTTAAGTTTATGTGTAAAATTATGTGTATAATAATGTTTTTGTCTCTAACTTTCATGTGCTTAATTTTGAAGTGAGAGTCTACCGTGTATTTTCTGTTATCATTTAGCAACCATTGTAAGAATTAAAAAGCAATTTTTTTTATTTTAACTTATAGTTTAACTGGTTAATAAAAACATGAAATTTAACCAGACAAGGATGGCTTATGCCTGTAATCCTAGCAACTCGGGAGGCAAAGATCCAAATATCAAAGTTCAAAGCTAGCCTGGGCAGAAAAGTCCACAAGACCCCATCTACAAACTAGCAAAAAGTTGGGCTGGACCTATTGCTTAAGTGCTAGAACATCAGCTGAACAAGCAGGCTTAGTGAGAAGGAGCCCCTGACTTCAAAACCTAGTATCAAAACTTACAATAAAAGCTGAACTTCTTAGTGGGGCACTATGTAATCTTCGACATGTTTAATACAGAGTCAGGTTGAACATATCTTTTCAAACATTTATCATTTCTTAGAGTGAATACTTCAGAAATCCTTTCTCTGGCTTTTTCAATCCTGTAGCACATTATAGTTATCTATATTCATACTGTATAATAGAATACCAAAATTTTAAATGTATTTTTATAGTAAATCTACTGTTTTGCTTGGAAGATGTCAGAAAAAGTCAGACTCAGAGTTAATACACTTTGTAATACTGTCTTCTTTTTTCAGCTGCAGCTGGTAGTATTTGATCTAGCTTATATTAGATACACCTTTTTGTTGTTTAGTTTGTTGTTGAGTTTAGAACATATTCTACAGATATTTTTTTTTTTTTTTGTCGGTCGTGAACTCTGGGCCTGGGCGCTGTCCCTCAGCTCTTCAGCTCAAGGCGAGTGCTCTACCACTTGAGCTACAGCGCCACTTCCGGTTTTCTAGTGGTTTATTGGAGATAGGAGTCTCACGGTCTCTCCTGCCCGGGCTGGCTTTGAACCGCGATCCTCAGATCTCAGCCTCCTGAGTAGCTAGGATTACAGGCGTGAGCCACCAGTGCCTGGCTCTACAGATATTTTTAATGGTCGTGGGGCTTGAACTTGGTGCTTGGGTACTGTCCCAGATCTTTTTGTCAAGGCTAGCGCTCTACCATTTTGAGCCACAGCACCACTTTAGATTTGCTGGTGGCTAATGGGAGACAAGAGTCTCCTGGACTTTCCTGCCCAGGCTGGCTTTGAACCATGATCCTCAGATCTCAGCCTCCTGAATAACTAGGATTACGGGCGTAAGCTACCAGTGTCTGGCTTATTCCACAGATTAATCTCATGTTTTTATTACTATTTTCTCCAACTCTTTTACAGAAAATTTAAATGTGCTGTGTACATTAGAAGTAAAACAAAAACTGTCAAAACAGGAAGAGTAGATATAACGCTTAAAAAGTAAACGCATAGGGGGCTGGGAAGGTGGCTCAGTGGTAGAGTGCCTGCCTTGCATGCATGAGGGCCTGGGTTCGATTCCTCAGCACCACATAAGCAAAAAGAAAAAAAAGCCGGAAGTGGCACTGTGGCTCAAGTGGTAGAGCGCTAGCCTTGAGCTGAAGAGCTGAGGGACAACACCCAAGCCCAGAGTTCAAGCCCCACGACTACACCCCCCCCCCAAAAAAAAAGGAGACACATCGGGCTGGGTGTCAGTGGCTCATGCCTGTAATCCCAGCTACTCAGGAGGCTGAGATCTGAGGATCGTGGTTCAAAGCCAACCCGGGCAGGAAAGTCCGTGAGACTCTTATCTCCAATAAACCACTAGAAAACTGGAAGTGGCGCTGTGGCTCTAGCGGTAGAGCACTCGCCTTGAGCTGAAGAGTGCAGGAACAGCGCCCAGGCCCAGAGTTCAAGCCCCACAACTGACCAAAAAAAAAAAAAAAAAGGAGACACATATATACTTACAAGAAATATTTCACAGTCCAGGAAAACTTAATATTTATAAATAGATACTTGCAAGAAAATGTTCTGGTTTATAATTACCTGTAAATTATATGCATCATTCTTTAAATTGTTCTGATAAAATTTATTTTTCAAGGTTTTTCATGCCATTCAAGAAACATGCACAGAACTTCTGAAGATAGTGGAGAAATATCAGCTGAGACTCAATGGTATGACATTTAGTACCTGATGACTCCAATATAATGGGAAAGTAGCAGTATATTAAACTGTATTATGAGTAGTTTTATGGCAAAATATGAGTATTTATGGTGACCTGTTCTCGCATACTCATATCTTTTCCTTTTTCAGTTCATGCAATTCTCTGACACCTATTCATTATGGTGGTGTCCTATTTTATTGCTTAGAGTATTAAATACATTTGCTTGTGTCACATAAAATATCTCTCTTGGCCCCTACAGCCAACCCCCTTCCTCTGCTCCTCTGACAGAAAAATTTGACACAACAGATTTTGCAGTCTCTATTTGTCCTCATGCTTTATCTTATACTCACTGGAGTCTGATTTTCATCTCTACCACTCCAAATTTTTTTGTGCGTGTGCCAGTCCTGATGCTTGAACTCTCAGGGTCTGGGCACTGTTCCTGAGGGTTTTGCGCTCAATACTAGCACTGTACCACTTGAATCACACCTCCACTTCTGCCCTTTGAGTAGTTAACTGAGGATAAGAATCTCATGGACTTTCCTGCCCAGGCTGGCCTCCTGAGTAGCTGGGATTACAGGTGTGAGCCATTGGTACCTGGCTCTATACCAGATTTCTTTTTTTTTTTTTTCCCCACCAGATTTCTTCACTTTGCTGTCACACAACACACTTCCCCGGCTTCCCACTTAAACTTCATTCCTTCCTGCCTCTGCTGGATTCTTTTCTCTTCATGACCTTTTCTGTTAACTCAACCTTAGTATCTCTTCTCTTGCTTTAAGTAAAGTGACCTAATAGATGTGGCAAGCCCTTACTGAACTATGTTGATTTCTTTCACAGCAAGCATGTCTGTATAGTGGATTCTCTTAACTTCCCTTAGCTATCTTGTGAAGGCCATCTTTTTAATGAGGTCTTCCCTGAACCCCATGTCTAAAATGCAACCACTATCTCCTTCATAACTCCCCCTATCCACTTAACAATATTCAACATTTTATATCACTGGTATATACTCTAAGGACAAAAAATTGTCTCTTTTTTTTATATCTGTGTCCTCCAAACTCTAAAATGTCTAGTATAGTCAATATTCACTAAGAATTTACTCAATGAATGGTTTTTTTAAAGCTGTGTAAATTAACTCTTACCACTTTACAGTTAAAGCCCATGCATTGTCCCATTAAAGAAAGAAGTCTAATATGATATGATCACTCTAGTATTTTTTGTGAAACTGACAGGCCTATATTCTTTTCCTAAGAATAATAAACAAGTTTTTGTAATAAAATAAGAATGTTACATATGGTATTGAGTTTGGTATACTAATATAACTCTGAATTCCTACAAGTGAAAAACACTTAAAATAGACCAAACAATAAAGCAAGGGTTTGTAGAAATTGAATATATAGGGGAAAAGATTTTTTTTTTAGTCCAAGGAGCGACCTTTAAGGAATGAGAACAGCATCTGCAGAAAGAAGAGTTGGTAACTGAGTCTAATAGGGGATAAAGGAATAAAGAAAGTTTGGAGTCAAATTACTAAGCATCAAAATATTTGACCTAGCAGTAAAAGGTCACCATAACCACTAGACCATGGGAATCCTATAGGAATGAAAATGTTAAGAAACATTGACAAGTTTGTATGCCTTGAATTTTGCCCTTAGATCAATAATCTTTTTAACATTATGAAGGGATATTCCAGAATAAAGAAAAGATTATACATATATAAACTTCACTCAATAGTTTCAGTTTGAAATTGTGTATAAATGTGTGATTTCTTGGAGACTTACACTAATCTTTGGTTGGTAATAATACTAGACAAACATGGTAGATTTAGACAGTAGAGTGTTTTGAGTGCTGGGAATTAAATCTAGGGCCTCCTGAATAGTAAGCATTTGTTCCTTCAGTGAGCTACCCTAGCCTCCAGTGTTCTACCTTGTTATGAGACTCACTTGGCTGGGGATGTGTCTGTAGATGTGGGAGGCAGGTTGTAGCACACATTCATCTCCTGACCTTTCTGCATTGATAAAGGTAAGACACAGATTCAGTGATGACTTATGCTCAGTTGATACTTGATAATGAAGTATTTCAGCTTCTCAGCTTTTTTTTCTTTTTCAGAGCTGAGATCCAAACTCAGAGCCTGTTGATTTGATTGATTTCAGGGCAAAATTCAAAGCATACAAACTTGCCAATGTTTCTTAACATTTTCATTCCTATCACAGGATTACCTTGGTCCATGGGTTGCGGTGGCCTTTTACTGCTAGGTCAAATATTTTGATGCTTAGTAATTTGACTCCAAACTTTATTCTTTTATCCCCTATTAGACTCAGTTACCAACTCTTCTTTCTGCGGATGCTGTTCTCATTCCTAACAGGTCATTTGTTGGACTAAAAAAAATCTTTTCCATTGAATTAAATGCCCAACCCCATTTTCTCAGCTTTCTGAACCATCAGAAATGATGAATATTTGTCAGGTGTCAGTGGCTCATACCTATAATCCTAGCTACTCGGGAGGTTAAGATCTGACAATCATGGTTCAAAGCCAGACTCAGCCAGAAAAATCTAAAAAACTTTTATTTCCAATTAACCAGCAAAAAGCCAGAAGTAGAGGTGATGGAGCAAAAAAGTTAAATGAGAGCATAAGGCCCTGAATTCAAGTACCCAGTACCAGCACATACACACACACACAAAAGAAAATGAGAGGGTTTTTTTCCCCTAATAGTTTCATTGAGGCATAATTTATGAAGTTCTGACTCAAAGGTAATATACATCTTCAAGTAATCAAAATATTAAACTAACTCCCTAGATCCAATCCTCTCTGGTTCAATTTGGTTATTCAGGATATGGCACAACTGTTACTGTTCTCATGAAACATGACACTACAGAATATGTAGGCATCCTACGCCATTACGGCATCGTGGAGTCACTCTGTAGACACTCAGGAGCAGCCCAATGGTGAACCAGCATATGAGGAGGGCTGAGCTCTGTTGCTACCTCAGAGAGACCCGGGATTCTCTTTCAGTTCTTAACTTCGGTTTTCTGTCAGTGACGAAAAGTTAAATGAGACCTGGAATTTGTATTCACTGTAGCTCAATTGAAACACTTCATAAAAGCCTTTTTCCCCTTATCCATCTTACGGAAGCTACATTAGATCAGTGTTCCTGAAACTCTCTGTGCTCAGACCAATGTTTTGTTGTTTTTTTTAAAAAAAATTCTAATGTGACAGTCTGCAATAAAAATGAAATTTACAATGTTTAAAATTTTAAAATATGCCAAGAAAACTTTATTTGGTGTGTGTGTGTGTGTGTGTGTGTGTGTGTGTGTGTGTGTGTGTGTGTGTGTGTGTGTGTGTGTGTGTGTGTGTGTTGAGGTTGAACTCAGGGTCTTATACATGCTAAGCATGTGTTCAATCTATGGGTTGCACGTCTAGCCCCATAATTTTTATATGTTTTTTATTGTAAAGATACTGTACAGAGGGGCTACAGTTACATGAGTAAGGTAATGAGTACATTTCCTATCGACCATTGTTACCTCCTCCTTTGTTTTTCGCCTACCATCCCTTCCTTCCCCACCGCCCCAATTCCTCCTTCCCCCTCCCCTAATTTTTATTATTAGGTTTAACCTCTATGAGATACTCAGGCAAATTAGTAAAGTCTCTACACTGTTTTTCTCCATTTCTTTACTTCTCACAGTCTGGTAACATATATTCTAGACTGACTTTAGTCCATAGGCCACACTAAGTAGCAGTGTACTAGAAGACAGCCTTTAGAGTTTCTATAGCAGAATTTGGGTATCTGGGCGGTCAGAAATATGAAAGATGAGGAATATGCATAAAAATCTAGAAGAAATAAACAAGTATAAATATAAAACAAATGCCTTGCAAAAGGCAGTGATCCTAAAGTAGAGCTGTACATTTGAAGCTAAGCTATACTAATTTGTTTCTTTGGTTTGTTATTTGTCACTAATAACCAGTTTTCCCAAAGCAAGATCATTGATTCACTGCATCAAAGCCATCTGGAGTGCTTGTACAAAAAGCACATTGCCAGACCAATATAATCAGAACCTTTAGAAATAAAGTCTGGGAATTTTCACTTAAAAAGTCTCTTGCTGGTTGCCAGTGGCTCATACCGTAATCCTAGATACTCAGGAGGCTGAGATCTGCAGATTGCAGTTCAAAGCCAGCCTTGGCAGGAAAGTCTGTGAGACTCTTATCTCCAACTAACCAACAAAAAAGCTGAAAGTGGAGCTGTGGCGCAAGTGGTAGAGTGCTAGTCTTGAGCATGAAAAACTTCAGGGACAGTGCCCAGGCCTTGAGTTCAAGCAGGAGGCCCATCATCCCCACCCCAAAAAAAGTCTTTTTTTTTTCTCCAAATAATTCTTAGCATAGATTGCTATTGCTGTGAGAATTATTTCAGCTTCATGTGTGTAAACAAATGATGAAACAATTGTGTTTTTTTCCCTCTAGTTATGTCAGAGGAAGAAAATGAACTAGGGCTCTTTTTAAAGTTTCAAGCAGAACGTGACACAACCCAAGCTGGCAAAATGATGGATGCCACCGGCAAGGCACTCTGCTCTTCAGCCAAGCAAAGGTCTATCCTAGATTTTCAGCATCCTTCAATCTGTAGCCAATATAACACTTGTAGCATATGTATTTAAATGAGCATATTTGGGGAAAAAAGTTACTAATCAGTCTAATAAAGGGTTAAAAAAAGAAATATATTCTAGTATAGAATTGTTTTGATGCCTAGCTCTTAATTCACTCTTAATGTTTCTGGTTGCTTAATTCCTACAAATAGCCTCTAGGCTCATATTTATATTTGTTGTCATTTGGTGGTATTGGGGTTTGAACTCAGAGCTTTGAGCTTCTTTACTTACTTGCTTCAGCTGACACTCTGTCACTTGAGCCCTGCTTCTAACAGCCAGCTTTTTATTGGTTGTTTTGGAAACAGAAGACTCACTTGGATATTTCTGCCGCAAGCTGGATTTGAGACATGATTCTCCATATAGCAGCGTACTGTGTAGCTAGGATTATAGGCATGAGCCACAGTGCCTGGCTGTATTTTTATTTCTTGAGTGGTTTAATAATATAACAAAATGACAAAAATCACTATTTAAAATATGCATATTCTACTTTTCCCTTTTTAAAAAAAAAAACAAACCACTCTCTTTGGGTTTTTTTGGCGGGGGGGGGGGGGGGTCCGGTTGTGGGGCCTAAACTCTGGGCCTGAGCACTGTCCCTCAGCTCTTCAGTTCAAGGCTAGCGCTCTACCACTTGAGCCACAGCACCACTTCTGGCTTTTTTCTTTTTGCTTATGTGGTGCTGAGGAATGGAACCCAGGGCCTCAGGCATGCAAGGCAAGCGCTCTACCACTGAGCCACCTTCCCAGCCCACCACCTTCTTTTTTAAAAGGGCTTCGTGCCTGCCAGAAAAAGGGCTGTATCTTACCCCTAGTCCTTCTTCACTTCATGTGGTTATAGTACTCACCTTTGGGTATGTTAGGACTTCTTTTAAATGTAGGAGTCTTTTCTTTCTTTTTTTTTTTTTTGGGGGGGGGTACAATTGTGGGGCCTGAATTCTGGCTTGAGCGCTGTCCCTCAGCTATTCAGTTCAAGGCTAGTGCTCTACCACTTGAGCCACAGCACCACTTCCGGCTTTTTTCTTTTTGCTTCTGTGGTGCTGAGGAATCGAACCCAGGGCCTCAGGCATGCAAGGCAAGCGCTCTACCGCTGAGCCACCTTCCCAGCCCCTCTTTTCTTTCTTAGTTACATAATTCCCTTCCATTTATTATTTCACCATTTTTTAGCATTAAAGTACCTGTTATGAAGAACATCCTGTAAGTAGTAATTATTAAGAATAGTCCAAATATTTTCAAGTGCTGGTGGCTCGTGCCTGTAATCCTAGCTATTCAGGAGGCTAAGATCTGAGGATCACAGTTCAAAGCCAGCAAAGGCAGAAATGAGACTCTTACCTCCAATTAAACACCGAAGGAGATGGAATTAGAGCTGTGGCTCAAGTAAGAGAGTTCTAACCAATCCAGGCCCTGAGTTGATACCCTAGGACTGGCACCAAAAAAAAAAAAAGTCCAATATTCGTATTTCAGGAAAAAAGTGAAAATAGTTCTCAGGCCCACGATGATGTCAAGCTTCCGTGCCTTTTTTCTGAAGCAGCATATCAGTGTAAAAGTCTTGAAAGAAGTGGGAGAGAGTTCAGTGTCACTGAGTTAGGTTTGATGTATGTTTTTTAATGCTTGTGTGGTTTTTTTGTCCCCATCCTCACAGGCTAAAAATTCCATGCTCATTAGTTCTGTCATCTTACCTGCTCTTCTAAACTTATTTTTTCTCTAAACTTGTCAAATGAAAGGTCTTATATGAACTACATTATACTTTATAAATGCCGGTCCTTTGTCACCCCAAGAACTCTTTTTCTAAATGGCAGATTTACCTGCCTGTCAGGTATATGGATTAACATCCAAAGTGCTCCAAAAATTATAAATTATATATTTCCTAAAGTAAAAAAGGAGAAGGTATAAAAGGGAGAAAGTATAATAATTCAAAGTTGACTACATGAGCCTTACTTACTTTCTACATCTCCTTAGATACGTCAATAATTTCATATTTCTAGGCTCATTTTCAGAGCAAATATTTTTTATAATTGGTTTGAACTTTTGTTTTAATTATGGGATGTACAATCCTCTGATTTTTACCTTTCTTCCATTAGATTGGCCTTGTGTACTCCTCTCTCTCGACTTAAGCAAGAAGTAGCAACATTTAGTCAAAGGGCTGTATCCGACACATTGATGACAATCAATCGGATGGAACAGGCACGCACAGAATACAGAGGAGCTCTGCTGTGGATGAAAGATGTATCCCAGGAACTGGATCCAGATACCTTAAAACAAATGGAGAAGTTCAGAAAAGTAAGAAAATATATCCTTTTCCTTTCCTTGATGCATAAAATATGGAACTGATACATAATAATTTAGTGAAGAATCAAGACAATAGCTCTTTTTTTTGAGCCATTGTCTTGCTATGTAGCCCAGCTGGCCTAGAACTGTATCCTTTTGCCTCTGCCTCTTGGCGTGTACTGGGATTACAGACATATATAACTGTCTCTGCCTTTTTTTAAATGGCTATTTTAATGTTCACCTTGGTAGCACATATATTAAAAATACATATTTTACTATAAATTATTGTTTGCTTGGAGATTTTGGCACACCTTCCACCCCCCATCTCTATCTCTATCTCTTGTCCTAGAGCTTGAACTCAGTGCCTGGGCACTAAGCTTCTTTTGTTCAAGGCTAGTGTTCTACCACCTGAGCCACAGCACTACTTCTGGCTTTATTAGAGTCTTGTGGTCTATTAGAGTCTTGAGAGTCTCATGGACTTTCCTACTTGGGCTAGCTTCAAACCACCATCATCAGATGTCAGCCTCCTGAATAGCTAGGATTACAGGCGTGAGCCACCAGTGCCAACCACACTTTTTTTTTTCATCAACCTTTTCCCTTTTTTTTTTTTTTAATCCCACTCGTATTAGATCTAACCACATTTTAAAGAATGTTGACCTGAACTTGTGGAAATTCTTTGCAGAAAGAAAACAGCTTACTACCAAAGGAAAATATATAATTTAAGTAAAAAGTTATATAAAAAGTTATTAATACTAAGAAAAAGTGAATACTATCAAAATTTTCATTCTGTTACAATACAATTTCCCTACAAACCTACTAAGCAAATATGCATAGACATGTGCTTTGCTAATAAATGACTCATTATAAATTATATTCCATAGGGCTGAGGGATAGACCCTGTGCTCAATCCCAAACCTAAAAAAAGTAATCCTCTAAATTTGACGTACATGGATATTAAAATTCATTCATTTCATAAACTCAGACCCGATAACAAAAACTCCTAATATTTGACATTGATGGAGAGCCTATACTTTTATGCCAGTTAGTATAAGTGTTTGGTGTCATTGATTACTCTCAGCAGCATGTAGGTAAACATGTCTTTTTGGTTTTGGCTACTTTTATTGAATAGAGCCTGGTATTTGGGGCCTGGGTTAGCCTGGACGTCAACGCTCCTTCCTATGGCCTCCTTCCTAGCTTTGATAACAAGCATGGGCCACCACATCTAATTCATTTCATTGAAATAAAGTCTGGCTTACTTTTTGTCCCAGCAAACCTCAAACCACATTCTTTGTATACCAAGTAACTGGGAGTATAGATTTGAGTCCATCTCTGATCTCATACTTTCTCAACCTAAAGATAGCCTGGGAAGACTCTCCTGCAATTATCAGGCATAGACAAAATCTTCATTATTAATTATAGATTATATCAATGATACAAAGAAAGAATATTGTTATTCTTTTACAATTTTATATGTTTAGAAATCTTCATTCCAAACCTGTATTATTGAAAATAATATTAATATTTTTGTGATTGCAGGTACAGATCCAAGTGAGAAATAGTAAAGGTTCTTTTGACAAGTTAAAAATGGATGTTTGTCAGAAAGTGGATTTACTTGGAGCTAGTCGCTGCAATATGTTATCTCATTCCCTCACTACCTACCAGGTACCAACCTCCATGGTCAGCATGCCCTTGCAGTAACGATGAGTGGTGAGATTCCTTTTTAAAAGTTGTCTAGAGGGTGAAAACAACTCATACAATTATGAAATTCCTTTCATTGGCATGTCGAGGTTGTCACATATAGACAATTATAAAAATCTAAACTAAAAGGACGTTACAGAGATTGTCTATTCCTGTAGTGTCAGGTTAGTCTTCTTCGTGTCGAGAGAGAGAGAGAGACAGAGAGAGAGAGACAGAGAGGAGAGAGAGGAGATAGAAGAGAGAGAGAAAGGAGAAGAGAGAGAGAGAGAGACCTAGAAACTCTCTGGTTTGAAAAGAGAAATGCTGAGGAGGCCAAATTCAAGTTCCATTAGCCTGGATTTTTACTGGAGAGCTGTCCTTCTGGTTTGAACTACATAGTTTCATCTGAAGCAAAAAAACAATGGTTTGAAAAGGTTGGAAACTTTTCTTGTCATTTTATAGATGACAATTCAAGTGAATGGCAATGTGGAGCTTAAAAACCTGTTTTCTAATTCTAGGTCATGGGTTCTTTTCATTCTGCCCAGTCACCATCCTATATCACTTGAGCTCAGAAGCCTCCCTGTGCTTACATTACCTCAAACCATACAGAAATAATTATAACGAGTAAGTTAGCAGTTAACAAATAGCAGCTACTGAATTCAACATATATTTACAAATAACAAGATAATACAAACTGTATTTGCTTAAGAAAATAATAAAATGGCTCTTTGTGCTATTTTAAAGGAATTCACCTAATACTGTGGATTCAGGAGTCAAGAAGGGATGTACATGAAAATAAAAGCATATGACCGTCCATGTAGAATAACTCCTTACACAAACAGCTGATAATTCTGTCCTCCTTTGTTCTCTCTACTCATACCTCTCTCTTTGACTAGGAACCCAGAAACAACAAGGAAGATGGCCAATTACTTGAGTACTTTTTTTTTTTTTTGGGTCTGGTCATGGGGCCTGAACTCTGGGCCTGGGCGCTGTCCTTCAGCCCTTCAGCTCAAGGCTAGCACTCTACCACTTGAGCCACAGCGCCACTTCCAGCTTTTTTCTTTTTGCTTATGTGGTGCTGAGGAATCGAACCCAGGGCCTCATGCATGCAAGGCAAGTGCTCTACCACTGAGCCACCTTCCCAGCCACTTGAGTACATCCTTGTGTTCTCAAGTGGAAGCATATATAAATATCTTACTATTCTTCAATAACAAGATGTTTAAATATGGTTGCCAACATGAAGATTATACATTTACATTTATTCCTCTTTCTATAGAAATTAGTATTTCCATACTTTAACTTTTTCTTTTAGACTGTTTAAGTGTTCCAGTCTATAAGTTTTTTGTTGTTGTTGTTCGTTTGGGTTTTTTTGGTGCTGGTCCTAGGGCTTGAACTCAGGGTCTGGGTGCTGTTCCTGAGCTTCTTTTGCTCAAGGCTACTGCTCTACCACTTGAACCAAAGCCTCACTTCCAGATTTTTTGGTAGTTTAGTGGAGATAAAGAGTCTCTACAGATTTTCCTGCCTGGGCTGGGTTCGAACCATGATCTTCAGATCTCAGCCTCATGAGTATCTAGGATTGCAAGGATGAGCCACTGGCACTTGGTTGGGTTTGCTTTCTTTTAGCTGCGTCCTCCATAGGTGATGGGTGCACGTACATGAATACACAGATGTTGGTGTCTAAACTCAGGGCTTCAATGTGCTAGGCAGACCCTTTGCCACTGAGACAGGTCTATAGCTCACTTTTTGCACTGGTTATAGAGACAAAAGTCTTGCTTTTTTGTGTGAGCCTACTGTTTGGACCACAATCCTTTTTTATGCTTTTCACAGTAGCTGGGATAGCATTTGCACCCTCACTACACCCAGCAGTTGACTGAGGAGGTTTGCCTGAACCCCATCTCAGCCTCCCGAGTAGCTAGAATTACAGGAAAGGCCCACTCACTTGACTACAGGGACTATTTTTTATTCAGAATTATGATTTACAGCTCTTTCTGGTTCTCCAAACTTGAACAACTGAATTTAGTTCTTGCTGCTTCTACTGCATCAACAAGGAAATGCAGCACTGAACAAAGGAGGAAAGAAGAACTGAAGTGTCACCTTTTTTGCCTACAGAGAACATTGCTTGGATTCTGGGAGAAAACAGCTCGAATGATGTCCCAAATCCATGAGGCCTGTACTGGCTTTCATCCGTATGATTTTGTAGCTCTCAAGGTACATTTTTCTTGTTTCTTGTTAACATTTCATTTGGGTAATAACACTGAAACTTTTTTCTAAGCTTAATTTGAAATTTATAAAAAAACATTTGGGCTATGTTTTCTGCATTCCTTCTGATAAGATGGATTAGCACTTCCTTGGTTCCAAATGATGGCAGCAACACTGAAACACAAGGGAGTATAGCAGTAGGTTGAAGGTGGTGTGTGAGGGGGAGGAAAATGAAAATAAAAATTCAAAGAGAAAAAAAAAATTCAAAGAGATAAGAAAAGACTATGGAACTAACATGTTGAATTGAGAACTCCTTAATGTACAAGATACATTATGGAAATGTGACAGAATGCTTGGCTATTCTAAACAATGGCCAGTTTACTTACATGACAGTTTTAGAACTTTAAGACACATTTCCTGTATTCACACTGATGTGTCAGATATGGCTGATGATAAAAATTAAGCTCACGACTTAGGTTTGATAACAGCTAAAGAGAAGAACATGCTTCATTAGTTCTCTCTGTAACAGAGTATCCTCAGGCCAGGAATGCAGTGCTTTTAACATTCGTACATCTTCAGTCACATCATTTGCACTGCCTTACTCATGTGATAGTCATTTCTTCAATTCTGATAGACTATGTTGCAGTACCTTTCATCTTACCATTCTGCCCTGTTTTCAGTAAGCTTAGAATTTTTTTTGACGGCTGGGCACCAGTGATTCACGCCTATAATCCTAGCTACGCAGGAGGCTGAAATCTGAAGATCATGGTCCAAAGCCAGGTCAGGCAGGAAAGTCCATGAGACTGTCTACAATTAACCACCAGAAAACCAGAAGTGGTGCTATGGCAAGTGGTAGAGCGCTCACCTTGAGCTGAAGAGCTGAGGGACAGAACCCAGGCCCAGATTTTAAGCCCCACAACTGACACACACACACACAATCTGAGATTCTTGCTGGATTCATATCAGCCACAGGTTCATACCTTGCTACTGAGATGATTTCTAAAGTCAGGTTCTGACATAACATCTTTCAACCCCAAAGATGCCTTGAATTAGACTGGGTTTTTACATTTTTATGTGAACTTATTTTTTAATTTCTATAATAAATGCTTCCTTGAATAGCACTTGATATATTTAGACAAATTTTATGTCTACTCAGAAGTGATGCTGAAAATCTTTAGCTATGTTTGGAGCATTGCAACACAGTTGAAGTGGACCTGTCAGAACATTGTTAATCCAACCTGTCGCTAGCCCACATCACAGTATGTGTGGTTCCTACAAGCAACCAGGATAAACTATGTATATGAGGCTCAGTTAAAATTACATTAGCATACACTCCCCACATGGGACTAGTTCCAAATTATCCCTATTTTATATGTTCTTTAGCAATGTATTTCTCATTTTGTTTTCAAAGAGAGAAACAGAGTCTTTGCATCTATTTAACATTGAATTTTTTTATCCTTAGAGATTACAAGACACTCCAAGCAAGCTTACTGAAGACCACAAAGAAGGACAAATAGAAGACAATGTTCTTACTGAAAACCTCAATAAGTAAGCAGGCAGAAGCTATGCTGTGCAAGTCCTGGATATCATTTTGTGACTTCATGTAGAATTATTTTTTCTCTGATTCATTGAATGCTTTCTTCCATGTCATTTTTTCCAGTATCCTTAGACATTTGTTTGGAGTTGTTTTTTTAATTCAGGTTTTACTATGGCAGGTAAAGAGTGACACGAGTACTAAATGAATTTGGGTTATTATTCCAGATTCTGACATTTGGGAGGTTGAGCCTTCTAGTAAGAGCCAGGTCATGCCTAAAGGGGTCAGCCGCTGTTACAAATCCACCTCTAAACCGCACAGATGAAGCTAGGCCTGGTTACTGACTAGTTTACGTACCTCGCTATGTATGACATGTTGCCTATTTCTCTTTTATTGCATATTTTCTTTGTTTCCCTTCCAGAGCTGCTGCTTAATCCTCATTTTGACTAAATTGACTAAAATAACAAACTAAAAAATAAGGACCAAGATGATCCTAAATAGAAAGCATTTCCCCATTTTCTCTGTGGGAAATCAAAATCAAAATTTTGGCTAACTGGAATATATAAATGTTTTGGGATCAACAGTGTGTGTGTGTGTGTGTGTGTGTGTGTGTGTGTGTGTGTGTGTGTGTGTGTGTGTGTGTGTGTGTGTGTGTGTGTGTGTGTGTGTGTGTGTGTGTGTGTGTGTGTGTGTGTGTGTGTGTGTATGTGTGTGTGTGTACTGGAGCCTTGTGCTCTGAGCTTTGCTCTTTTGCTTGCACTTTACCACTTGAGCCAGACCTCCAGTGTTGCATTTTGCTAATTGGAAATGGAGTCTCAGAGAGATTTTTTCAGTTTGAACTAGCATTAATACAAGTCTTAGACTCCAGAATAGATAGGATTATAAGTGTGAGTGCCACTGGAGCCCAGCTAGGACCAACAATTATCAAGTATTAGTTATAAATTAAACCTATCTTAGCTATATATTGGCATTTTGATTCATACCTAAATGGAATATTTATTTTTTCGATTCTTTTTTTTTTTTTTTTTTTTTGTCGGTCGTGGGGCTTGAACTCTGGGCCTGGGCGCTGTCCCTCAGATCCTCAGCTCAAGGCGAGCGCTCTACCACTTGAGCTACAGCGCCACTTCCGGTTTTCTGGTGGTTTATTGGAGATAGGAGTCTCACGGTCTCTCCTGCCCTGGCTGGCTTTGAACCGCGATCCTCAGATCTCAGCCTCCTGAGTAGCTAGGATTACAGGCGTGAGCCACCAGCGCCCGGCTTATTTTTTTGATTCTTATATCTCATAGAAGTTATTTTTTCAAAATCTTTCCATGATTCCTTAACATTACAAGAGCTACTTTTTGAGCTAACAGATTCCCAAGCACTTCATCCCCTGTTCAATACAGTCATTTAAAAACCAAATACATATATTGTCATTGGAAATTTTATCCCAAATCATAAGTGTCTATTTGTCTAATAGATTTATCTTGTAGTATTTGTTAAAAATCAACATCCTATTGCTTTTACGTGTCTTTAAAGGCCTACTAGAAACAACCTTGACTAAATCTGTTTAGTTTTTTACCTCACCTTTTGGTTATTACATGGATGCTATAAATCAGCTATTAGATGGATGCTATAAATCTCCAAAATTAGTATTGATTGATGATATTCTAAACTAATATGTCTTCTTTTAGAAACATGAATTTAGAATAGAATGCCTCACTTTTACAGGGATGTTCTTGTATTTAGTTGTTAAGTAAAACCATTCAATGCTTGAAAATGAAACTTCATATTCTATGGCTTTGATTTCTCTAAATTATAGTACAAGTTAAATTTCCTTTATGTTAGAGGTGTCAGATTTTGGATTTTTAAAAAAAACTGGAATAGTCACATCTATATAAATGAGTAATCTTGGGGATAGGACCAAAGTCTAAAATGAAATTCACTTATGTTTTACAAACATCCTATACACATAGCCTGAGGTAATTCTGTACAATACTGTAATAATTTTGTGAAGAAACAAAGTTTCTTGGTGTAGATTTTTTCCCCTTTGGTATCATGTCAGTGCTTGAAACATTATAGATTTCAGAGCCTTTTGATTTGTTTGGTTTTTTTTTTTTTGGGTCCGGTCATGGGGCCTGAACTCTGGGCCTGGGTGCTGTACCTCAGCTCTTCAGCTCAAGGCTAGTGCTCTACCACTTGAGCCACAGCGCCACTTCTGGCTTTTTTCTTTTTGCTTATGTGGTGCTGAGGAATTGAACCCAGGGCCTCTGGCATGCAAAGCATGCGCTCTACCACTGAGCCACCTTCCCAGCCCCTCAGAGCCTTTTGAATTGGGGATATTCAACCTTACATTTAGCACACTGCCTACAAATGCTGCTGTTACAATGTTGAATATGGGTAGACTTTTTGGTTTGTATAGATCTATAAAAGTAAGAAATTCTCCCAGTGATAGATTTTTGGGAGATCTACTAGACAAATATTTTATATATCCTCCCCCTTTTTTGGGGGGGGGGCTTGTCCCTGGGCTCTTTTTGCTCAAGACTAGCCTCTACCACTTGAGCCACAGTGCCACTTCTGGCTTTCTCTGTGATTAATTGGAGATAAGAGTCTCATGGGAGGGCTTCAAACCATGATCCGTAGCTCTCAGCCTCCTAAGGAGCTAGGATTACAGAGCCCACCAATGCTGGGCTCTAAGTTACATTTTTAACTATATAAACTCTTTGGGAACTATGAACCAAATGTATTTTAACAGAATCTATGCATTATCTTGCTTTCACTTCAGGGTAGGTTTGTCCGAAGAAGCAAGCTTCAGGAGAGAATCAGGTAAGATGTAGATTTGTTATCTTGAAATGGTCACATTTTCAGTTGCCAAAAGTTTATCATACCTTTTAAAAAAAGATTTTGCTAATATTCATTAATAATAATAAATAAAATTTCATTCTATAAGTCCATTCTATACACATCAAATTATCTTTTTTTTTTTTTTGGTCAGTCGTGACGTTAGGACTTTTTACTATTTTAACACTAGGTGGTGCAGTAATCTAGGTTTGCCATATTCCTGTTAATGTGTTGTTTACACATTAAAGCTTGCCCTCCTCTGTTCACTGCTATTTAAGTATCCCATAGATTATGCCATCAAATATTTGTATTTCAGAAAGTCTATTCTGCAACAAAGTTGTAAAATTTATAGGTGAAAGAGCCTTTTGTGTTTTGGTTTAATTTTTAAATCATTTCATCCTTCATGCATTCCAATCAAAGCATTCAATTATATATCTTCCTCCTTTAAGAATTCACTGAGGAAGTGGTGCTGTGGCTCAAGTGATAGAGCACTAGCTTTGAGCACAAAGAGCTCAGGGACATCACGCAGGGCAGCAAAAAAAAAAAAATTCAGTGAAATTTCTTATGCTAATATAAAGAATTTTAGTGCTTTCCACGTGTGTAAGGTCCATTCCTAGTATTAGGTTATGTATATTCAGGATAAATACCTTATTAATTATGCTGCTCAAAGCTCTTAAATCTTTCTTTAATCATCTTTATCCCCTTCACTTTTTTTCTTTTTTACCAAACATGTTATATTAAACAAACATGATATATTACCAAACATGGTATATAGTGTTACTGTTTTTATTTCTCCATGCATCTTTTGTCATTTGCCTTACATAGGTGGTAGCTTAATTATTTCAAATATTTATAACTGTCCTTTGTTATACCCTCATTGTGAAAATGTGACCATTTTGATCTAAATCTTGCCCACTTAGGAATAATTGTCACATTAATTTCCAACCAATTTATTTGCTGGTAAAAGTTCTTTGGTACTGTAAAAGAACAATGAAACTAATTTATCATGTGTCTTACTCTCATTTCTTCAAAAAGAATAGCCTTTCTGCTTTTATTTTCAATCAGCAGCAGCAAAAGATGTACCTTCAGATTCACTGGAAAGAGAAGATTTTGAGAAGGAATTCTCATTTCTGAATAGCCTTCTAAGCCCTGCTTGTTCCAGCACTAGTGAATCTACCCAAGAATGCCAGAGTTCTTGTGGGAGCGCCAGTGCTGGTGTCACGCCCCAGGAGGCTTCTGTGGGGTCCGAGCCTCTTGCTCATTCCTCTGGATTCCTCCCCTCACAACTCTTTGACCTTGGCCTTCGTGCTGCTGGAGCTTTCAACAGTAAGTATCTATCAACCATTTGCACACACGTGCCTCATTATACCTTTGGAAACAAAAATAGTATGCTTGTTGATGGTAGAACCAACAAGGAGCTTGATTTTTTTTTTTTTTCTTTTTTGGTTGGTCCTGGGGCTTGAACTCTGAGCGCTGTCCCTCAGCTCTTCAGCTCAAGGCAAGCACTCTACCACTTGAGCCATAGCGCCACTTCCAGTTTTCTGAGTGGTTAACTGGCAATAAGAGTCTCAGGGACTTTTCTGCCCATGCTGGCTTTGAACTGTGATCCTCAGATCTCAGCCTCCTGAGTAGCTAGGATTGCAGGTGTGAGCCATCAGTACCCGGCTTAAGGAGATTGATTTTTTTTAACTGTAGTACCACTGGATAAAATCAGCACTCACCACCAATGAACTGCAAAAATACCAAATCTAATCACACTGGATATATGTCACGGAATCTGAATTGACCTGTTTCCTTGCCAGTTCCACCAGACTTACATGCTCTTAGACACTGACTTTCCTAGTTGTTTGGTTTGCCATACTTGACCTGATAAGTTACCCTCCCAATAGGAGATCCATTTCTTTCATTAAACAGAATTTGGTGTGTTTTCATTCTGTGAGTTCAGAGTTAACAAGAAAAAGGGACAGCTTGAGTAGCTGGGTCCAGGAAGCCTTCTGGGTAAAACAGCAGGAGTGGAGGACACAGAGGCAAGCTGGGAAGAGGTATTCCTGAAGGAACACCCACCTCAGTGTGCTATCCTGTTTCCAGCTCTGCACCTTGGGAGTCATTTTGCTCCTCATGTCCATATTCGTTATCAAGTCACGTCTATTCTGTTTCTGAAACTACTTCACAACTAGAGCCATTTAGAGCCTCCCTTGGCTTCGTTTTGCTGCAATATAGCTCCTAACAAGTCTTTAGCTCCCAGTTCCTCCTCCACACTTCCTCCAAGAAGCAGATTCTGAGGTTAGCACCCTGCTTTTAAAAACTGAAGCACACATGGTTTCAGGATAAAACCTGCATTCCAATTTTTATCTCCTACCTTACCTTCAGAATATTTGCTGTTTCTGTCACCCCATTCAGTACTTCCAGATCCCTTAGAGGCACCTTTCTGTTGCTGTTCAGTAATGGAGGATGGATGTAAACCTTAGTACAGGATTCCCAATGAAAGCTTTCTCCATGATGGCCAGTCCTTGAATTGCTTCTTAGTACTAACAGATGGCCTTTCAAAGTGTTACTTGTATCTGTTTTCATAGCTGTAGTCAGTTTATCTTCCCTTAAACAGGTCTCTCATCTCCCAGATTTTATTATTAAAAAAAACCTTCAAAAAATAAACCATTCACACCTGTATCAGCATCTTAACTTGCTGTACTTTGCATTAAAATACTATATTATGCTATATCACAAGGGCATGATTTGTAGGGATTTGTCTTGTATATTCTGTGACAGAAGCATGAAGTTCCCTCAATAAAATACCAGTTAAATAACCATTTGGTAAGAATTTATTGACTAGCCTAAAAGAATGGACAGGATTACTGGACAAAGAAGCACTCTATCTAAGGATAACTGTGGTGCCTTCCTATGGCAAGGTTTTTCCTGGCACATCAATGGCCTGGTAGGTCTAATGATTTGTAAACCAATTGCTTTTCCATCATGTGTTCTAACTCTTCTACCCCCTATTTTTACGAGTCTCTAACAGCTTGATTTTTCTTCTAGTTGATACAATATCAACAATCACTTTCACTACTGAAAACAATTGGTCCCAGCTTGAAAACAAACAAGATATTCCCATCTACTAGACAAGTTAAAACTCAGTGTTTATGTGACTCATCTGAGGTCATAGGGCAGTGTAAACAATAAAGGGAGCAGAACCTGGTCCCCTGCACCTCATGCAGGATTCCACTATTTTTTGTTGTTGTTGGTGGTAGTCATGGGTCTTGAACTCAGAGCTTGGGTGTTATCTCTGAGCTCTTTCACTCGAAGCTACATTCTACCACTTTTAGCCACTGCTCTTCTTCCAGCTTTCTGGTGATTAATTGGAAACAAGAGTCTCAGACTTTCCTGCCCACGCTGGCTTTGAACCATAATCCCCATACCTCAGTCTCTTGCGTAACTAAGATTATAGGTATAACCACCAGTGCCCTGCTCCATTTCACTATTCTTATGTCCACTTTCTTTTCTCCTGCTAATGTAGCTGGGCAGTGAGCTAGCTACCTTAAGAGAAAAAAGACAAATGTTTTAGAAACCCCAAGGTCTTAGTCTACTTTATGTAATGTACCATAAGATTGGATATTTATAAATAGGTTCTGCTGGCAGTTCTGATGGCTGAAAAGTCTAAGGGCATAATACCAGAATGTAGCACATCATCTCAGGGCTCAAGGTGAAGGTCAAGTGAGTGCTTAAGACAAGATGGGGCCAGATTTACCCTTTCTATCCAGAATACACCCTGTGACTACTAATCCTTCCAGGATAATGGCAGTAATCCATTCACAAAGGCCAAAGTCCTGAGGACTTGCCTTTAAGGTTCTTCATACCATCATGACAACCATATTTCAATATAAGTTTGAGGGGGACAGTCAAAATATAGCATGCTATCTGTGTGCATGCCATGTGTGCATGCATGTGCACGCGAGCGTGACTATGTGTGTGTATATATTCTGAAGGTACTGGAATCTGAACTCAGGGCTTCATGCTAGCTAGCTAGATGATCTACCTTCTCCATTTTCAATTTTCTTTTCTTTCTTTCTTTTTTTTTTTTTTGTCAGTCGGTCGTGGGGCTTGAACTTTGGGCCTGGGCACTATCCCTGTGCTCTTCAGCTCAAGGGGAGCTCTCTACCTCTTCAGCCACAGCGCCACTTCCGGTTTTCTAGTGGTTTATTGGGGATCAGAGTCTCATGGACTTTTCTGCCTGGGCTGGCTTTGAAGCATGATCCTCAGATCTCAGCCTCCTGAGTAGCTAGGATTACAGGAGTGAGCCACTGGTACCCAGCCATTTTCAATTTTCTTAAAAATTATATATAATGTATATCATGTATGTGAGGCATAGTCTACATATTATATACTTACATATTTGTTATATATATTATTAAATGTTAATATTTGTTAACTATATAAATATTAAATATATATTGCATTATGAGTATTTTTAGGGGTTCTTAACTCTTCACAGTGAAGAAAAACTGTGAATTATCAAAATATACCCAGTTCTGGACACTAATGTGCTTCATTTTGTGTTAAGATTTGTGGATACACCATTTAGAATTGAAGTCTTTCTTTAATATTTTTCAAAATGACTTTGAAAACTATAAGGATTTCCAACCAACACTGTCTGGTACTAAAATTAGATGATTGGCTAAATACCTAATTCCAGATGTTTTTCCCTCCCTTTCATACGGGGAGGGGGGGAGGAGATGGGAGCAGGGATTTCAACTCAGGGCCTCACTCTCAAAAGGCAGGCTATATACCTGGGAGCCAGGCTCCCAGCCCTGTTTGGTTTTGTTGTTGTTGTTGTTTGCTTTTTTCAGTGGTCCTACTTCTTACCAAGACATGTGCCTGAGCTGTGATGTACCTAATTTTAGGCTTCTTGTTACAGTTAGAATAACAGGTGTTGCCATCAAGTCAGTTCCTGGTTAAGAAGGGGTTTCATGAACTTTTCTGCTCAGTTGCCTTGAATAGTGATTCTGCCAAGTAACTGGGATTACATGCTTGTATCAGTGGTGCCAAGATAGCTTTTAGTTTTTTATCCTATTTTACTATAAAATCTTAGCCTATCATAGACCAGAGGACTTAGCTATTTTTTTATGTTTTCTTTTTTTGATGATTTTTCCTGTACCCTACTTAGTTAACAAAATTCTTTTCTCCCTTCCCTCTAGACTGGGCCTCCCAAGAGGAATCAGAGCACACTGATAACCTACCAGTGCCTTCACAGAGTCCAAAGAAATTAACACGATGTAAGTTACTTTTTTCCATTGCATTAAGAATCAGTTGAGCTGGGTGCTGGTGGTAGTTTGTGTTAAAAGGAAAATTTTCCAGGTGTTAGTGGCTCACGCCTGTAACCCTAGCTATTGAGGAGGCTGAGATCTGAAGATCTTGATTTGAAGCCAGCCCAGATAGCAAAGTCCAGGAGACTCTCATCTCCAATTAAGCACCCAAAAAGCCAGAAGTGGAGCTGTGGCTTACTTGGTAAAGTGTGAGCCTTGATCAAAATTGCTCAGAGACATGGGCTGGGAAGGTGGCTTAGTGGTAGAGTGCTTGCCTTGCATGCCTGAGGCCCTGGGTTCGATTCCTCAGCACCACATAAGCAAAAAGAAAAAAGCCGGAAGTGGTGCTGTGGTTCAAGTGGTAAAGCGCTAGTCTTGAGCTGAAGAGCTGAGGGACAGCACCCAGGCCCAGAGTTCAGGCCCCACTACCGGACCCCCAAAAAAAAAAATTGCTCAGAGACAGCACTTAGCCCAGGGTTCAAGCCCCAGAACTAGCACAGGAAAAAAACAAAAAAAAAGAAAGGAAAATTCTACCTGGCTATTCTTATAGAAAGCAGAGAAGAAAAACTGAATTGTCATAGAGCAGGATGTTGCATTTTGTGTTAAGATCTGTCTAGTGGATATAAATTTGGTATAGGGGGGTCCCCCAACTCTTCTTAGGTCCTTTTTAAGGGCCTTGTGCCTGTTAGGCAAGTTCTCTATCACTGAGATATAACCCTGGGTCAGATGCTTTTTGATTACAGGAAGCCTGTTAACAAAGAACGCATTCAAGTAAATAAGATACCATCCTAATCAGTTGGGGATGCAAAGATTTAACCCAGGGCCTTATGTATACTAAACACTGGCTCTACCACATAGCTAGTTTTAACATTACCTGTTCAAAAGTTTATGTTCACACAGCTGTGAAATAGATCGTTGGAATGTTTTTCATCTTGAAAATCCAAAACCCTATGACCATTAACAACTCCCCCTTTCCCTCTCCTTAAACCCCTAGTAACCATCATTCTTTCCTTTTGAGATAAGGTCTCACCATGCTGGCCTCAAACTCATGGTTCTCTTGTCTCAGCCATTTGAGTGCTGGGGCTTTGGGTGTGACTCACCATACCCCTCCATCATTATACTTTGTTTCTCTAAGTTTGATTATTTTATATACCTCATGTAAATAGACTAGTACAATTTTTTTCTGGTGACAGGGCATTTCATTGAGCATAGTGTCTTCAATGTTCATTCATTTTGTAGCATGTGACAGATTTTCCTTTAAAAGGCTGAATATTTAGTTGGATGCTGTTGGCTCACTCTTGTAATTCTAGCTACTCAAGATGCTGAGGATTGCAGCTCAAAGCCAGCCTAGGCAGGAAAGTCCATGAGACTCTTCTCTAATTAAGCACCAGAACAGCCAGAAGTAGAGCTGTAGCTCAAGTGGTAGAGCACCAGCCTTAAGCAAAAAAGCTAAGGGAAAGTGCCCAGTCCCTGAGGTAAAGCCCTAGGACCAACATACACACATACACACACACAGCCAAATAAGCTGGGTACTGGTAGGTCATGCCTGTGATCATAGCAACTCAGGAGACTGAGATCTGAGGATCAAAGCCATCCTGAGAGCAGGAAAATCTATGAGAGTCTTGTCTTCAAGAAGCAACAACCACAAAAGCTAGAAGTGGAGCTAGAAGGGATAGCGCCCAAGACCTGAGGACTGGCACCAAAAAAATACATATACCACATCTGGTTGTTTTATACATCACAATTTTCAAACAGCCTTACTGAGATAGGAAATATTCCCTCCATTGGCTGTCAATACTCTGCTATAAACAGGAGACTTCCTTTCTGCTCCAGTTATTTTGTCAGAATAGATTCCTCTCTGTCAGTGCTTTCATATATATATATATATATATATATATATATATATATATATATATATTCTGCTCAGATTTCAAACTGCTCTTATATTGGCCTGTAGAAGCTCTACAAAAAGCCTACATTAATCGTTTTCCCCTGTGCTCCACATGTTGACTTCTTAAAATGTTACCATATTTGGTAACCATGATCACCAAACATTACTGTTTGCTTTATATTCTGTGTATCTTCTAATTGAGTGTTCATTTCATATACATAATTCCTATTTAACACTAGATACTTCAGTATCAGCTTCCTGAAAACAAGGTTTTGATCATTGTATGATTATGTTACATAATGATCAAAGTCAGAAAATTAACTGCCATAGGACCACACACAGTTTGAGTACAAATCTTACTCAGTTTTGGTCACTGTTCCACTGATGTGGAGAGTGCCAGAGGAGAAAAACAGCTTAGTTTTCATTTTTCTCAATCTAGGAACCAAACCAGAATTGAGCTGGCAAGTCTCTGTAGTCTCTAAGTAATCCTTAATCTTTTTTAAATAACCTTGAATGTTTTTCACTGTGCAGCAGGTCACTTATTTTGAAGACTGTCCTTCAGTAGGGTTTATCTGATTTTTTCATAATTAAATGCAGGTTGCTCATTTTGGCAGAACTAGCAGCACAGGAATGGTGCTGTACCATCTTAATCTTATCAGGTGTGTGATGTCTGTTTTGTCCCATTGCTGGTAACAGTAACCTTCATCACTAGCTTAAGGTGGTATCTGCTATATTTTTCCACTACAAAAGTGTCTACTTTTTTTCCTCTTGTTGGCTAACAGTGGTCTCATGGGAAATATTCTGAAACTCTGTACATAGCTTCTTTTGTAGTGGTATTAGGGTTTTGAATTCAGAGCCTTAATGTTGGTTAGGGTAACACCTATAGCTTGAGCCATGCCCACCATTCCTTCCACCCCCATTTCTGTTTATGTTTTGCATTTCTGTGTGGGCTGGGCCTGTGACCCAAGATCCTCCTACCTATACCTCCCTCCTAGCTAGGATGAATGCACAGCTTGTTTTGCTGAAACATGGTGTCACTTTTTGCCCAGTCTGACCTTAAATTATGGTCCACCCACTCTCTTGCCTCGTGAGTAGTTGGGATTATATTGTGGGTCACCATATATGTCCTAACTGGCTTTTTTCTATCAAAGTTTTGTCAATTAATTTGGCATTTACTGATAACACCTAGTTTTTCTTTGGAGATAGGAATCTTTGGATGTAGCCTAAGCTGGCCTCAACCTCACGTGTTCCTGCCTCAGTCCCAAGTGATGAGTGCTATGTTCCATCACACCTGGCTCTTTGATCATTTTTCATGAATACTTATTACTGTGTTGCTGAGTTTGGGCTTCTTTCCCCTTTTTCTCCAATCTCAATATCTCTAGCTCTACATCCATCTTCCTCGCTCTGATTCTCTCCTTTTCCCCTTGTCTTCCTCTCTCTCTGTCCTGGAGACTAAACTTAGCACCATGCACATACTGCCTAGCAGTCCACCACTGAGCTGTGTCTTCTTCCTTCACTGTAATTTTTATTTCCACAGTCTCTGTACATTTGTGAACATTCTTAAAAATAAAAACATTCTCTCTTGTTCCCCTATGGATGTATTCATTGATTTTCTATCAGTACATACTCATTCTTGGAATCCTACTTTTCCAGTGCTTTGTGGTTAAAGATGGAATCACAAGCAAATCACAGCTTCACACTGCAGATTCAGAATATAGTGGTAGAGCGCTAGCCTTGAGCTGAAGAGCTGAGGGGCAGCGCCCAGGCCCAGAGTTCAAGCCCACGACCTGACCCCAAATAAAACAAAAACAAAAATAAAACTAATTCATTGTGTCCATGACTCAAAGCTGTAGCATGTATCATAGTGCAGGTACTGACACTACATCAGCGTGCTCTAAAGTGGATCTGGACACAAACCAACAGGAGACTTTTACTCTGCCCGGATCCTTAAGGTTTAGTGCCCAAATCCCAGCCTTCTCTGGTCTATGGCAAGTATGAACCAAGTATGTCACAGAGGGCTGACTTGATTCTGGAGTGGACTGCCTTTTACCCTGGTCCTCTGGATTTCCAACTCTGATGTTGAACCATTTGGCTTTCAACAACCTGGCCTTATATGACCTACAGTCTGTTCAGATTTGTTAGTTCCAGCCCAGTATCTGCAACAGTGAAACTTGAAGGCTACGTATGCATAAAAATTTCCATTTTCGGGCTGGGAAGGTGGCTCAGTGGTAGAGCGCTTGCCTTGCATGCTCAAGGCCCTGGGTTTGATTCCTCAGCACCACATAAGCAAAAAGAAAAAAGCTGAAAGTGGCGCTGTGGCTCAAGTGGTAGAGCGCTAGCCTTGAGCTGAAGACCTGAGGGACAACGCCCAGGCCCAGAGTTCAGGCCCCATGATCGGACCCCAAAAAAAAAATTCCATTTTCTACAGAAGATAAGAAGGATTTGATCAGAAAGAAGTTATGATATTGGGAGTAGTGGTACGTATCTGTAAATCCCAGTACTGAGGATACTCAAACAAGAGAATTACAAGTTTGAGCTGGAAGTGAAGCTGTAGCTCAAGTGATAGAGTACCAGCCTTCAGAGAAGAGGGTATGGGGCAGCACCTAGACCTTTAGTTCAAAACTTACCACCAGCACAAAAGCAAAAACTAGAGTATATAGAAAACAAATAAAACAACTGTAAATTCAAATGAAAATGTATGTTAATATGGTAGGATTAGGAGGATGTTTTTCCTATATGTGATACTTTTGTAATACTTTCACCATAAAAGTCAACAAATGCTGAGTTAACAAGTTATTTTAGTTTTAAATTTTACCTGATATCCTATAATTTACCTTAAAATTAAATGTTTCTAAGATGACTAGTGCTTACCTTTCTCAGAGCAGCGTGTAATTACTTCACTATGGGAGCTTCAGCAACGCACAATGTGTCTGCATCAACTGTTAAGTAGATATAATGATCTTCAATTTTTTAATAAAAAGTATCTTTTTCAAAATCATAAAAGTGATACAAAATATGACTTCAAAACACTGAAACTCTTCAATGTGTTTTTCTTTTTAATAGCCCCCAACAATGGTAACCAAGACATGTCAGCCTGGTTCAATCTATTTGCAGACCTGGACCCACTTTCAAACCCAGATGCCATTGGACACTCAGATGATGAACTTCTTAATGCATGACTGATGTTCATTTCAGGGGTCTTGAGACATCAATTTTACAACATATTGCCTTTGTGGAAAAGGAGGTTCTATTGTAACCCACACCTGAAACCATGATATTTGCGACTATAATACCTGTCAGCCAGTACCTGTAATCAGATGGTAAGGACCACATATGAATAGATTGCATATATCTTTGGATTTGTAGATGCTGATACTAGGTGAAAAATTTTTAAAATAACTGAGTCTGCAATATTTAGATGCCAAATTTAGGTCTAAATAATAGGAATAATTCTGTCAATAAGGAGTTGAGCTTATTTCTTTGAGAAGCATTTTATATTCATGACCTTGCCGACTGAGAATTCTGTATGTGGTAAGGACAGCATGTACACTGGGTGTGGTTTGGGGGGTGTTTTTTAGATAAAACAGGGTCGGGGAGTCTGTTGTGGAAAATAGCATTAGCCAGCTTTGTCTTTGGTTGGAAAGATAGAATAAGAGGACTCAATTTGCTTTAATGAAATCAGAGAAACTGTACTTGTTCCTCTTCATGTGGAAGCTAAAATGTAATATAATGAAGCTGTAATGTTACCTTTCATTCACACAGAAATCATGGACACCCTTAATGCCATTATTAAACGGGGTAAGTAGCAGCGATTAATTTGCACACCTATCTTCCATAGAAATGGGAAAAATTATCTTCCCATTTTATAAAACACAATTTGCAACAACATTCAAGACATTTTCCAAGTATTTCCAGGCTATCACACATGGTTCAATGAAATGCAACATTCACATTATTCCTGAAATGAGTGGAAAACATTCCCCATTTGGAATTGCCAGGAAATTTCCGTCTTAATTCCAGAAGACAAATGCTAGACACCTCTGTCTTCCATGGATTTGTATGCTTAATCCCTTATTTCTTGATATGATTTAGCATCACACAGAGAAAACCCTAAATGACTCATAAGGAGGTGTTTAATTTTTCCGCTTTTCTATTTTTGTGGGTGACATTTGAAACTCTTTGATTATTAAGCAAAAGCTGTTACCCTTGCAGGGTTTAAAGCCTAAGTTTTGGAGGGAAGGCTATTTAACAGAAATTAGTAAACAGTGATTAAAAAAAAACAGCTACTAAGTATATGTACTAGCCACTCAATTCCTGTCTATTTTTTCTATTTTAGTTGTGAGGCAATATTTCAAGTGTTAGTTTGTCATCTAGTCCATTGTAATTCCATAAGAAAACAGAGTTTTGTTCACAAAATTTTCATGTAGTCCTAGTTCAAAACTGGCTTACTTATTTGTAATGCCACTGGACTGCAGTACAGTAGGTAAAATCTGTTGCAGTCTGGCCTAACCACAATGTTAACTGCCATGTGCTTTCCAGAAAATACACCACTATGGTCAAGTATGACACAGGATGAAAAGATCTTATTTGAGGGCTGGAAACATAGGAAAGGTTATAAAGTCTTCCCTTAATATCTTTTACAATATTATTCCTATTTTTGTTTTTTATGAGATGCTGTTTTTTCAGAAACAATTGTCTTTCTTATTCAGTGAAGAAATTTTCCAGTCTGCAAAATTGTCATTGTTCTGCCAAGATTTTTACCTAGATTATCAACCACAATCTAAATTCTATGCCTTCAGTGATTCTAGTGCTCTCAACTTTGTTTTAAAAAATTCCAAGCTTACATCTTGGGTTTGTTCCATTTTTCTTGGCAATAGGATTCTTTGAAATACTTTAGTTCACAGACATTTGAATATTGTCCCTTACATACATGTTCATACTTGTTATCAGGTATAAACAAAGATACTTTAATGAATAGTGGGCCTTGTGGGCTACAAGCTTGAATCCAGACTATGAATGGGCAGGAATAACACCCTCAATTTCCCAAATTGAAATGCACACAAGATTTTTTTCTTAATTCAATTCTTAGTTTCATCTTTCAACACAATATATGTTATCATTTCAACTCCAACAACTGCATTTTTGACAAGCATACCAATAATTGTTGTTAAATGAATAATTATTCCTGTTTTCTCAGAATTAGTAATTCGAGGTCAAAAAATAATTTGATGGTCAGAAAGAGACCTTTTGCTGTAGTAAACCAACACTGATTAATATAGTGCTTGCCTTCCTGCCTATAATCATGAAGGCAAGCACAGTTCAGCAGGAGCAACAGATGAGCAATAACCAGCTGCTACTTATCTCCAGAGCATCCATTAAGAAATTAATTATCCTGAACAAAGAGTAGAATGAGAATATCTCTTTCAAAATAGATACCTTTTATATTCAATGGGGGGGGGAGACATTGATCTTGTACCTTATTTTATACCAGATAAAAATGCACTGATGATTAGAAAAGCCCCAGCAGAAGGAATCTGCCTACTCTGTCTATAACTGCCTCTAGAGGAGAGGCGGAATACCAGGGCGTAAGATCAGTGTAGTTTGTTACTTTTTGAAGTCTTTGTTTTGCAACTGTAGAACATAGCTCTGATAAAATTAGAAACAAACTACTTCAATAAAATAGGTTTTAGTATTTGCACAATGTAATAAAAGGGTAATTCAGCTGTGCATATTTCAAATAACTGTATTTATAGATCACCTAGAAATATGAGGGCTTAGAGCATTAAAACAAAAAAAAAGATTAAATGTGCTCTATTTTTCTGAGCCTTATTTATAAATAAAGATTGCAAGATGGCATTAAATACAGTTTGTTTCCTAAAGTGTTTTGTTAATCAATAGATAATTCAACAATAATTCATTATTGTTTTCCTATTTTAAAACTTGGGTTTTACCTCAGGACCACAATAGTGAGAAAGTAAATGAAACTGACAAAGACACTTGAGAATGAAAGAAAAACCATAGTAGTTGCTATCCTTGTGAAGCAAATACAGAAGAGGACTGGATGTGAGATGAAGAATGTGTATTCTCTATAAACACTTCTGGTAACAAACACAGCTATCAGATGTAAAAATTCCAAGTTTTGAATAGCCATTGAAGAACAGCCATTAGTATTCATCCTGAGTTGTTGAAAGCAGAAATAAAAAGTAGAGAGCCAAAGTGATCTAGTTATTTCTGTCTTCCATAACGGCAGAGCCGTACATCTTTTTTTTTAACATACCAATTTTATTATATCCATTAGACTATGTGTGTGCGCATGCGTGCGTGCATGTGTGTGTGTGTGTGTGTGTGTGTGTGTGTGTGTGTGTGTGTGTGTGTCATGGTACCTGAACTCTAGGCCTGGGCACTGTCCCTCAGCTCTTCAGCTCCAAGGGTAGTGTTCTACCACTTGAGCCACAGGGCCACTTCTGGCATTTTCTGCTTATGTGGTGCTGAGGAATTGAACCCAGGGCCTCATGCATGCAAGGCAAGCACTCTACCACTGAGCCACCTTCCCAGCCCCCTACATCTCTATCTCAATGACACTGAAGCAACCTAGAATCGTAAGATACAGATATTAGGAAGAAAATAAAATCTTAAAATATTTACTAATCCAGTAGCACTAAAAATAATACATTTAAACATGCAACAGTAAGGAGTTTAAATATGGCAAAGAAAAACTATGAAACTATGAGTGGATCACATTCAGAAGCCCAACATAAAATGTCTTTCATCTTCTGTGTACAGCCTAAAAGAAGACATAAAAGCTCCATAAACACTGTCAATGGTTTTCTCTGGGGGATTTGGGGGGCGGGCTCTGAGATGGAACTTAAGGCCTTGTACATGCTAAGCCCTGCTGTTAACATTTAAAGCCAAGATATAATTCTTCATTCAGTGGTGTAAATAAACTGTTGGCCAAAGAGTACATTTAAAAAAAGGAAATAAAGATATGGTTAGTAAGATTTCAAAGTGCAAAAAAAAAAAACCTTCCAAGCATGGTGGCTTCTGCCTATAACCCCAGCTATTTGGGAGATGGATATCTGGAGGTTATGGTTCAGTTTTTACCAGCCTAAGCAAAAAGATATTTGAGACCTCATCTCAACCAATAAATCATGACTGTACGCCAAGGATACCCCAGGCAAATATGGAAGATCTCTGAAAAATGAAAGCAAAATGGGATAGGCATGTATGCCTTAATTGGTAGAATGAATACCTGCCTAGCAAGCAGGAGGCTCAAACCCTAGTACTATCCCAAAACAAAAATTAAACCCTATTTTCCTGCTGCTTCAGTATCACCTCTAGCAGGACAAGAACTCCTTGCCTTCTCATCGCCTAGAAGCATAGACATTCACCTGTGAATTCCTTTCATACCTCTTTTATGTAGTTCACTCTGCCCCCAAGGCATATGCACATAGTTCTTAACTCTAAATCTCTTGTTCCCACCTGCTCTGCAAGGCTCCCTCCCCTGATGCTGTCATGCCATTGCACAGTGGGTATCTTTCTGGGACTACTGCGCATACAATGTGTGTGTGTCTTTTTACCCTGTATCTCTTCTTTTTCTTATTACTCACTGAACATCATCCAAAAAAGCAATTTACAAAATGTAATCATAGTGGCCACCAGTGAGGATCACTGGTGAGATCTGAGGATCATGATTTGAAGCCAGGTGGGACAATAAAGTCTATGAGCCTTTTCTCTCCAATTAACACTCCCGACCCCTCTCACCCCCCCACCCCACCCCAGTGTAACCATGAAAGCCTTACCATGCAGAAATAATGACTTAACATTACGGCCTTTTTTTTTTTTTTTTTTTTTTTTGTAGTGCTGTGCATCACGATCCAGATGATTTCACACCTTTCATTGTCTTCTTTCCCTAAAATGGACAGATTATGTTACAATTTAAAAATTACCTCTGTGGGACTAGGGATGTAGCTCAGTGGTAGAGCCTTGCCTAGCACATACAAGCCCCTGGGTTCAATCTAAGCACTACAATTTTTTTTTTTTTAATTAAAATTACCTTTCTAAGTCAACAAGTCAGCTAAAGGAACAAATGTATGCAGACATGTTCCCCAGATTAAATGCATTTTTCTTTAATTTCTGTAACTACAGCAACATTAAAAACCAGAGGAGGACTGGTGTCACTAACTTCCTGGTTTCTTGTCGGTTGTGGGGCTTGAACTCAGGGCCTAGGTGCTGTCCCTGAGCCTCTTTGTGCTCAAGGTTAGCACTCTACCACTTTGAGCCACAGCTCCACTTTGTTTTTTTTTTTTTTTTGGTCCAGTTGTGGGGCCTGAACTCTGGGCCTGGCCGCTGTCCCTCAGCTCTTCAGCTCAAAGCCAGCGCTCTACCACTTGAGCCACAGCGCCACTTCTGGCTTTTTTCTTTTTGCTTATGTGGTGCTGAGGAATCAAACCCAGGGCCTCATGCATGCAAGGCAAGCGCTCTACCACTGAGCCACCTTCCCAGCCCTCCACTTTGTTTTTGAGTGATTAATTGGAGATGAGAGTCTCACAGGGACTCTTCTACCCAAGCTGGCTTAAAATTTTTTTTTAATTTATAAAAATACTGTACAGAGGGGTTACAGTAACATGAGCAAGGTAATGAGTACATTTCCTATCGAGCATTGTTACCCCCTCCTTTGTTTTTCCCCTACCATCCCTTTCTTCCCCATCTCCCCAACTCCACCCTCTCCCCCACCAAGTTGTAAGGTTCGTTTTCAACATAGTGTCTTATATGTCTCATTGTTACAATGGGTCAACCTGTATCCTTGTTTCAGCATTTTATTTCCCTTTCCCTCCCCAAATTAAAAAAATGTATATACAAGATGCAAGGCACTAGAATCAAATACAGTGACAACAGGAGTTATACCATAGGGGGAAGAACATACAAAAGGAAAAAAAATCACATAGTACATTAAAAACTTGTACAACCACTCTGGAAAGCAGTATGGAGGTTCCTCAAATGACTATACATAAAGCTCCCCTGTGACCCAGCAATCCCACTTTTGGGCGTTTACCCAAATGGTCACAAACAAGGCTATACTAAACTACCAGCACAACTATGTTTACTGCAGCATTATTCACCATAACTAAGATATGGAACAAGCCTGGATATCTCTCAGTAGATGAATGGATCAAGAAAATGTGATCACACACACACACACACACAATGGAAGTCTTTGCCTCCATCAGAATACCACCAACCCATTTGTTAGGAAATGGAAAGATGGAAAAAATTATATTAAGCCCCAAAGAAACATAGGTCCCATGGTTTCCCTTATTGCAATAGCTAATATATGTTGAGGATAATCTTACCAGACAAGCAAAAAAGGTCAAAAGCTATGTACATAGGACCATATAAGATGATGCTAAACACAATGAACCACAGTTTGGCTTTGAACCACGATCCTCAGTTCTCAGCCTCCTGGGTAGCTAGAATTACAGGTGTGAGCCATCAGTGCTTGGCTGACTTCTGGTTTTTAACCAGCTTCCTTTGGTACTTGAACCAAGCTGCAACAGCTGCAGCAATCAAGGGAACATGGAAGATAAGGAGAGGAAGCAGGGCAAAGGCCCAGTGTCTGATGCCCACAATCTGCAGTGATACTAAAATGTGTTTTATCAGTATTACTGGTGCAAGGCTTAGTTGTTGAGTTCTGTAGTTAAGACTTGGTTCAAAAACAGAATGGGACATTTTTCAGATGTATGACCCATTATGCTAATTGGAATCAACTTAATTCTAATTTTATCTGCTAAACAGTTAAAAGCAGCAGTTCCTGGCTTCATAGGGTTATTGTGAAGATTAGGGTAAAAATAATATGTAAAGTGCTTGTCAAATGGTAAGCATTACCAACTTTTATTTACCAACTGTTTTCAGCTCAGTATCTTGACTATAATACCTCATAACCTAAAATAAATTTCATGGGACCACTTTCTATGATTCCAAACCCTGAGTTTTCTATGGAATGATCAGACTGACTTAGCAAGAAAAGGAAGATAACATGGCTTCATTTTTTATTTAAGTATTACCCTCATTCAATTGACAGTACCACTGTCAGCATTTCCATTATTGTATAAGAAAACTGAGGTTCAAAAAGATGGACTTTTGTCCCAGTAGAGCTAAGACTAGTATCTCCCAATACTTAGTACTAGCCTCTAAATCCAGTAATTTCTTTTTCCTCTAATTCATCAGAATGATCTCAAAAATAGGTGCTTCAGGCATGGGGTGGTGATGGTTATACTCCTAGCTTTTCATCATTGCAGCTTCCATGGTAATCTTCTGCAAAATCTGCCAATTCAGCAGGACTATTCCATTCAGACTATATGGAGGTAAAGTCTCAGTTGAGAAACATGCTAAAATCTGAAGAACAAGCATTGTATATGCGTGTTAACAAAACCAGCAGTTCAGAGATACTGATTAAAGGGAAGTAGAGACAATGCCTTGGTTTTAGTCTCATCTCTGCAGTAAGATACCAGACTAATCTAACAACACACATGAAAGTTGATATAGAAGCAGTACTTTTTATATAGCTTTGATTACAAGTCTGGATAAGAAATATTTTTTATATTTACATATGACACAACCTGGTGCATAGCTTAGAGGCAGAATGCAGTTCTACATAAAAATACTTGTGTATGAATAGTTTTCTAATTGATTTCCTAAAAGTTGGTTAGGCCCATTTGAGACCCAAGCATTTTGCAAAACACAGAACCAAATAAAAACAAAGGCTACTGGTATGATCAGACCATATTGTCCTGAGAGCTACAGGAGCTCTACCACTGAGCTCCACCTGCAGCCCAGAAAAGCAGAAAACCTTAGGCCAATATGGGGTTCTCTTTGCATTTGATGATGCTGTGTTGAATTATAAACATCAGTTATACCGTAACTCTGGTTAACTTTATCAGAATTGTAATTTTTTTTTTTTTTTTTTTTTGGAGACAGGCTCTTTACAGGTAACCCTAGAGTCCCTGAACACTAGATCCTCCTGCCTCTTCCTCCCATGTGCTATAATTACAGGCATGTGCCACAATAACTGGCTCAGAAATACACATGTGTAGCCAGGTGCCAGTGGCTCATGCCTGTTATCCTAGCTACTCAGGAAACTGTGGCAGAGCACCTACCTAGAAAACACGAAGCCGTAAATTCAAACCTAGAACACCAAAATTAAGAAAAAAGAAAAAAGAGTGGCGCTGTAGCTCAAGTGGTAGAGTGCTAGCCTTGAGCTGAAGAGCTGAGGGACAGCACTCAGGCCCAGAGTTCAAGGCCCATGACCGACCAAAAAAGAAAAAAGCCCAACAATTTGATGACCAAACTACTTTTACTTGAAACATAAACCTACTTTTTACTTTACTTTTATTATTTTTAATTATTCTAAAGGTGGTGTACAAAGGGGTTACAATTATATAAGTCAGGTAAAGAGTACATTTCTTTTTGGACAATGTCCCCTCTTTCTTAGCTTTCCTCCAGCTTTTTCCTCCCATTCCCACCCACAGATTCTACAGTTCATTTTCAACAGTGTCTAGTGATTAGCACTGCTGCATTTTTCACCTTTGATTCTACTTTCTAAGTGACTGTAAAGCAGTCTTCATTGAGTTATCTGAATCGGCTGTTATGTCTTTCCAAAAAACAAATGGTGACCCCTAATAAAGGTAAAAGTTAACATTAATCTTCCCAAGTCAAAGTGGGGAGGTTATAATATAGTTAATTGAAATTTTCAGAGTTGCTGAACGGTAGTATGTCTCCAGTGGAAGCTTAGCAGCATTGTGGGACAAGTGAAGCAATCCACAGTACAATATTGAACTTTGTGCTTCCTGAGCATTGTTTGTCCTTAGTAGCAGTCTCTTGGCAACCACATATCATCACATACCAAAGGCTGTCACAGAACTAGAATTTTAAAAAGGAAAAAAAACCATCTCTTTATGTACTTTAGAATGAAACCAACTGTCTCAGCTTTATGATCCCCAACAAACTTAACTAATACATCTTTCAGTAGCTGCTTATATTTTGAGTTTGCTTATAATACTTACTACAAAGACTAGGTACTCTAGCTTTGTATCAAGAAAATATTAACACAAACATACTGTTCTATCAATCTGTGAAGAACACATGTGTTAGGTCAGACTAAAAATGTCTAAAAAGAGTGCTGGAGATAGGGTTCAAGTGGTAGAGTACTGGCCTAGCAAGCCCCAAGTACAAACCCCAGGACTACAAAGAAGTCTGAGAAGAAACACAATGTGAATTTTTGAGACAATATTCATAAAAATACACAGGAGAAACTCTCAAGAACAGACTTTATTTTTAACATAAAAGTTCTCTCTTCTTGTGAGGCAGCAACAAGTGTTCAGGTACAAGGAATACATAAGAACATAGTTACAATATCTATTACCACTGGAAATGCTGCTTTTGGGGTAGAATTTTGTTAGAAAACAAGTTTAAAAATTGCATTTTAAAAAGATTTACAGAGCTTCAACAGAGATAAAAGATGCAGAGTTTAAAAAACATAAATTATACTCAACAGGACTGTATAAACAAAATATTGTTCAGGGTTACTCTGCTTATCACTAATTTGGGCAGAGTAAAAAAACCTTAAAGTGCAGATTTAAATATTCTCATCTTTATTTTGCAAGTTCAGGACTTCCACTGATCCAGTTAGAAGGTAACAAAAAATCTAAGCTTTAAGGAATGAATTTGAAGTTTAGAACAATAGATTTAGTAGTAGCAATTTTTCCTTATTTTGAGAGAAAATCCTGACAACCAGTCCTAACCTTGGACATAAAAGTTGCAATAAATTCTGCCATTTTTGATACCTTCTTCTAATGAA